GCCCCCGCCGGCCCGGCGCTGGCCCCGCAGGGACTGCGGCTCTCCGCAGCCGCCCCCCGTGTCCTCGCCGGCTCCGCGGTGCCTCCTCGCCGCGGGCTGCCCGCCGGCCCCGCCGTCCCCCCGACAGCCGACAGCCGTCTCGGCACCCGCCCCCCGCCGGCTCCCCTGCCCGCGGCCCCCCCCAAAGGCACCAGCGGCGCTGTCCCCAGCGACTCCCCGGGCTCGCCGCCCCCCTCTCTCCCGGTCCCCCGCGGTCCTCACCCGCGCTGCCGCCGCCTCCTCCAGCCCGGCCGCATCTGCCTTGGTGCCCCTCTTCGAAGAGCGGGTGCGGGACGAGATGAAATGGCTGCCGGCCCCGGCCGCCGCGGCCGCCGCTTTGCCCAGGGGGCGCAGAGAGCTCTTCCTGGTGTTCACCATGGCCCCGGCGAGGGGGGACACGGGGGGCGCCGCCGCCGCCGCCGCCGGCGCGGAGGGAGGAGGGAGGGAGGGCGGACAGGCGGGGGCTCGGGCAGGGAGGGGAAGGGGAGGGAGAGGGGGAAAGGGGGGAGGAGGGAGGAAGGAAGAAAAGCCCTCCGGGGAAGCCGCTCCGCCGGGCAGAGGCGCAGCCGGAGCCGCGCCGGCTCCTCCCGCCGCTGTCGCCGCCGCCTCTCGGGCTCAGCCCGGCTCTAACTGGCCGCCATTACTGTCCCTTCTCCCTTTCTCTGCTCGCTCCGCGCCGCCCCCGCGAGCCGCCGCCGGGGGGCGCTGCGGCCCCGGCGCGGCCGTTCTATCCCGGCGCCGCGCGCTCTATGGGCCCGGCCCGGCCCGGCGCGGCCCGGGGGAGGCGGTGACGGTGGTGGTGGTGGCGGCGGTGATCGCGGGTCCCCTGGGAGCGGCTCCGGCTCCGCGGCGAGGGCCGAGCGCCCACCGAGCCCCAGGGCTCCGCCGCGGCCTGGCCGGAGCCTGGCGAGCCGCCGGGCGGGCCTGGCCTGGCGTGACCCCGCGGGGTGGGGGAGCTGCCGCCGTTCCCTGAGGGTTGAGCCAGGTCTGGGGAGTTCAAGGGCAGGGGCGGCGGCTGTCCGGGGCCGCAGCGGGTGAAGGGCCGCGCTCGCAGCTGGGAAGGGGCTCAGTACCGTCCTGAGGGCTGGAGCCGCCCGGTCTGCTCTCCCAGGGAGACTCTTGCTGACAGGACATCTTGGGCGAACAATTCTCCCAAGGATGAGATCTCCGTAATTTCCTGTGGAAAACTCTTTTCACGGTCTGGTGAGCCTCATTATTAAGAAATCCCCTTGATATCTAGACTATGGGAAGTGCGCCCTTGCTTCTCCCATCGCGCCAGTCACCGGCAACACCCCCTGTGTTTTGCCTCAGCCTGCGTTTCGTGTTCCTCGCTCGGTCCTCGGAAAGCTCATTTTTCCCCACTCCCCTCCTCATAGCAGATGCATTTCAGAAGGGCGAGGAATACAACGCATTACCCTACACCGGATGCCTAAATGCGTTTCAGATTATTCACAAACTATAACCCTTCCGCCTATTCACGAACCCAATCCCTTGTCGCCGATGTAAGAATGATTCTCTCACCACTTGTTGCCCTATACAGAACTTACCGCAGTGTGTGCACATAAGCCCCGAAACCAAAAGCTTTGTGAAAGAAACGTAGCTGAGAAACATAAGCAATACAGCTGTAGGTGACAGTCTCAACCTTTTAATTTTTTACACTGACTGGTTTGTCACTGCTGGGCAAGTGCCTCTTGCTTCTTTAACTAAAAAGAATTGTAACATGAAATTACAGAGCACGTGTTTCTGACTGTTAGGYTCAAGCAAGCTTTATCAAAGTACTTTCATTGTTTAAAGATGGAAAGCGTGATAATGTTTCAGTAAAGAACAATAAATTTTAAAACTACTATTCTGTTTTACCTCCATACTCCCACATCTTTCTTTTCAAGATTACAGTCTGAAAAAGTATGGTAGAATGTGTACTTAAAAATAGAAAACACGCAACAATGACATAGGATATATAATAAGAAAATGGGCTTTTTAAATAGCCAAGAAAAAAAAAACCCTCTTACTGTGAATAGCAGCAAATTTTTAGTTTTATGAGATACTCCAAAATACAATGCCTTTCAGGGTAGGAACTTCAGTGTCTCATCTGACATTCTCTATTTAGAGCTGGTAATCTGAATCAGCAACAGTACAGTATTTTCTGTCCCAGAATCTGCAGTCTTTCAAAAGTAGAGTAATTCTGCTCCATGAGATTGGTTTTGGTAGGTTTCATATCTTTTGTTTCTTCACTTATTTGYTTAAAGGTCATGAAAGGATGTAGCCATTTCAGGCACTTGTAGGCTAAAGGAGTATTTTAATTGAAAACCTAAAGGGATTTTGAGAATGGCATTTGGAAATCACATCCTTTTAAAAAGGATTACTTTTAAAAARTAGGAATAGAAGAAAACTGCAAGAGATTGTCTTTTACCAAACACCAGGAGATATGGACAGGAAGAGTATCACATCTTACCCAGAATGACAAATAATGTACTTTTCCATTTCTGTCCTGTAATACTGGTAGGCCATGAAACTCAGACATGGTTCTCAAAATCTGTTGGTYTGGAAACAAACAGTATGTTGATCTTCAAGTTTTTGTACTTGTCACAAAAATATCCCCATTTTGGGAAAACCAACAGATGAATGGCCCAAAAAAGGGCCCAGGCTGCAGCATTTACAGTGAATGTCATAACTCAGGATTGCAGTCATTGGCAGAGCTGTTTGGGGAAGCTTGCATAACATCTGCTTGCAACATGCCTGAGTCAAACCAGCACTCCTCCTCTTGTGAGCACTGATGACTTTCAGAAAGTAAAATAAACTCAGTCAATATGCAAGCAAATTGATTTTCCTGGGTGCCTCTTCAGATCTGCTTGAAATAAAAAATTTCCCAACTCAAAAGTTATTTTATATTTACTAGATATTTATACCACAGTTCTGTCCTTTTTTTTTTTTCTTTTAGTGTTCTGATCTCATTCCTGCAAGCCATACCCAGAWAGCACTCTTTATGACACCAGAGGGACTACTGTAGAGAGATTGATGTAGTTAAAAATCCCTGATCTCTGCTTTGAACATTTGTAGTGCTTCATTCTCATTATGTTAGCATGGCAGGAAACACAATAAGACATGCTTCATTTTGGATGTTTACTCCCTGTGTTGTTTTTCACAGATGGTTTTATTTACAGGTTTCTTAGTTGTCTTGTTCCTCTTARAAGGTGTGGTTGGTTATTTTGACTTAAATAGCTTATGGCTTTATAGCTTYCATGTCAGCCTCATCACCATTTTTAGTACTGACAATATAAATAAATCAATCAYAAGTTACAAGGTTTGCTTGGTAGCTTTGATTGGATTTTTTTTAATGCAGAGAACATGTTAACATAGGATTAATACATCACACATACTTAGAGATTTAAATGTGGTTTTACAATGAAAGATGAATTATTGTAGAAAGGGATTTAGAGTAATTTCACTAATCCAAGAATTTACTTGTTCCCATTTTTTATATCTGTTGTTGGTTAAAGTGTCATATGAAGACAGAAAAGCATTAAAAACCTATTTAGACTCCCTTCAGTGCTCTACATGCAGGAAATGCTTGGGGAAAAAAAAAAAAAAAATAAAAACCTCTGAGTAGTGAGAGACAATGAAAAAATTAAGGGGAGAAGGAATGAAGCCACATTCCACTAAGTATTGCATTAAAAAAAATTGTAGAGCTCGTTCCCAGTAAGATTCAGTTTCAAGATTTGTAGTTTGGTCTTACAGACAGATGTCTAAATGCTTCTACAAATAAATGCCATTGGGAAAGACCATAGTTCAAATTGAACCAGTTTATAATGAATGCTGAAGCTTACAGCAGTGTTCAACATCTTTTTATCTCCAGTTGTTCAGAAAAGAGATTAAGGTATCTGAAAAATGTATTAAGAAGCCACACCATCTGCTGAGGCAGGTACACCACTGGGAAACTGGAAAAATATGAAAAATGACTTGAGCAAARGAGTCCCTTTCCATTAAAAAAGAGGTGGAGAATTAAGTCGGATTGGGACATCATGATGTAAAAAGACGTTAAAAAATTGCCCAGGATGTTTTGAAAGCCTTGTTTGTTACATGAATGGTATTTAGTGACAAAAGAAATATTTGGAGATGGAAGATTTTATTGCCACATGTCCCTATTTTACCAGGAAATAAGGAATGGGTTACAACAAAAGAAAAAGTCCTTCATCCCTTATTCAGAACTCTTGCAGAGAGTTTCATCCTAGTAAGGACCAGAGGGCTCTATTCAGTGAGTTACCATTTCCTTCAATCATGGGCAATTTTCCAGAGATTACTTTGCAATATCTCTGAAKAGCAGTAACATTCCAAAGAATGGAAATCAAATCATCTTTTCAGGCCTCTATTTATAAGCTCATATGTGCGCCTCTCAATCATGCTGTCAACTCCTCCTGGTTTCAGTTGAATCTTGAAATAAAAAAAGATTCACAAGAGATCTTGCTTTTGTAAACCCACCCTAAGCCTTTTCCTGAGGGGGATGTTAGGAAATTAAGACTGCGTGGTTACTCCTTTCAGAATTGTCCATTAGGAAAATATGCCTRTGAGATAKAGGTTTATAAACTTCAAACAAGCASTGTCCAATAATCAGCATTGGTACTACCTTGAACTGGAATACAGAACGTGATACAATCACTCAACATTGCAGGCATTTTGCTTTGTTATTAAAGAAGGCTCATTATTTGAAGATTGCCTTTTTCATTTTAAAATGGGTAATAGTTATGATTTCAAATKAAATACTTAATGTCCAGYRCCATTATCAACACACCTATCTAAAGATTGTTTTCCACACTAGGTAACATCATTGCAACTTGAAGCAGGATCAGAGAGTTGGTTTCTTCGATAASATTAAATGGGAGTGGTAAAACTTACCTCCTAATATTTCAAAATTATCTTCCCATCACATCTGGCCATTAACTTCCATAACATTTTTCCTGTTGAGCTAAGGTCACAGTAGATAGTTTTTCTAATAATAATAATTGTGTGGAACTCACAGGCTGATGATATTGCAGCCAGGCATCTGCAGGGTCTGTTTTTTACTATCATTCAGGCTGTAAATTACTTCCATCTTGGACAAAAGTGGCAAATCATCTCACTTTGGTGCTTATAATCATTAATCATATGAAAGTAGCACTGCCAGCCTGTTACTATGCTGGGTGATTTATAACTTTGTAGTAAAAACCAGACTCTGTCCTAAAATGCTCACAATAAAAATAGGCATTTATGAACACATGTGTAGATAAGCTTTAGCACCATAGAAATGCATAATGGCTTGATTAGGATCACATGGCAAGTCCATCAAAAACRTTATTGGTTCATAAATTTCCCTAGTCTTCACACACAATCTTAGCTTTCCAAGTGTGTTTTCTTGTTACAGATCCAAGAACGAGCTCACAAAATACACTACCATGTCATCACTGTAGTTTCACTTAAAAGTGTCTGAGAATTCACATGATACGTTATTTCCAAATGTCTGTTATCTGGTAGAAACAGTTGCTCAGGATGCTTTGAATTTTTCATGGACTCATGCATTTCATGCTAATTTAAAAATTGAAGCTATATTCAATTTTCTTATGTATTTACAGTCCAAGAGTCCAGCAATGTGTGGATACTYCTTTCAATGCATGGGGATATGCCCTCGTCATGAATGCTGATTCACCCATGAAACCACGATTTGCTTTCCATTGCACAGCTGACTTCCTAGAAAGATCAGCTCTTTAAGCTACTCCTCCCTGTGTGGCAGCCTAGAAGGTTTAAYGCTCCTTCAAGGACTATTCCTCCTTTGCAGATGAACATGCTGTCTTAGTCACTGGAATTGCCATGTACAGGATAACCAGACCCTGTTCTCTATTTATTTTGCAGKCCCAGTTCCCTCACAGTCTCTTCCTGCTCTGTGTGCACACTTACAAAAGGCTTCAGGCAACAACTCCKCTCTCAAGTTAAGGTCAATCAATACAGCTGATGTTTAATTATAGGTAGCTGATGGTGTCCTCTGGCATAGGCTAACCTTGTTAAATAAAAGGTTTAAAAATATCACTTCAAAATTAATTTTCTGCTTGTTTTTAGATACCCTGTGTGTGCTGATTTGTCTGTGACCTTGATGGGACTGGCGGTGACAGCTAAAACCCTGCTTTACTTTGTCAACACTGAGATTCACTCCTACATTATAAAACAAKTTTGGGGGTTGTCAGTATCTTCCACACCAGTGCATCTGATCTCTCTTGACAAAGGGGCATGAGATGGTTGTATTCATCTCATGAATACCCTGTTAGAGGGTATTTTCAGCAGACACAGTCTGGGCTGTTTGCTCCTATTCAGCACACGGTAAGAAAAGGACCATTTGCTTCTGTTCATCTAGTGTACTGCCAGAGAACAAGCTGTATGAAATGCATGGAGACTAAAAGGATTTTAGTGATGTCTTGATTATAACATCATTGTTACTTGAAAATTCCCAGCTTTAAAGAAAATATTTTTTACATTATAAGAGTTGCAGATCTTTCTTAAGATTTTTCTTACTCTGATGCTTTGTCAACAGTTTGACTCCTGAGGGAGGACTGCACTACTTAGAAGAGCTTTTAAGTAACCACCGAATTCACTAGGATACTGATTCCTACTATAGTAGGTCAGCATGTCTCCAGCTGTACTCTGATTTCCAGTAATAGACCTAATCTTCTAAATCAATATGTGATTGCAGCCAGGATGCCTACACCATTACACCAGGTAAGTCCAACCGTGCCTCCGTCTATGCTTACCTCTGGGACTGTCAAATTGTTGCAGAAAGGGCCCCAGGGGAGGGTCATGCATGTTACTGAACTTGTCTGTTTAATGAAACGGACACAGTGTACTTAAAATACTGAAAGAAAAATCAAAACAGTCCAGTACTGCAAAACAACAGTCTGATRTTTTAGCTAGGGTTTTGTAAATTCCTTGAACTTTTCAAGAGTGTCATGATATCTGCGGTTTAAGTTCTAAATATATAAAAAACAGTTGAATAGAATCAATAATASTTGCAATGAACCAGTGCCTTCTATTTGAAAATGTCAAAGTATTTTAAACATTAAACAAAACCAGGGATAATAGAATCTCAGCATTCCATGTTTTGAAATATAAGACACTATGTATTTTAACCAAAATAAAAGGCAAATTTCTTACTATCTTCCCTTAAGATTCGTAAGTAGGAGCTCTGATTAGATCTCATCTAGTTAAATCATAACGATTAATCCAAACTGCCTTCAAAAGGTTCAGTGCATTGTGACGTACATTAWAAAGAGAAAGAAATTAGAGCTGTCAAGTGTCAGATTTTACTTGTGTTACTCACCATCACTGAATTGTGAGACTAAGCGTCTTATTTTAATAATTCTGAACAATGTCATTTTAATTGTTGTGATTAAGGGATTGCAGAAACGTGTCCCACGTGAAGATGACACTCAATGAAGTACTACCTCTGCTTTTAGAATTACCTTTGATCGCGCTTGTAAATTCGCAGTGGATTTCCCATTAATTAGTGTGAATTATCTAGTTGTGGCTGTTCAATTTAGGTTAATTCTAAATGTTTTACAGTGCATCGCTAATTATTGGGGGGAAAAAAAGCCAACGCTTATTAAAAAGCTCGCAGGTGCAAGGGATGCGTTCACTCTGCTCCAYGTGTGTTTCCAGGTGCCGGCGGCTTCTCCGCGGTGTTATCCTTGGATAGTTGGATAGTTCCTGACACTACCATGGGACCTCCTCGTCCCGCAGACAGCGGCTTCGCCAAGGCCCAACACAGCGTAGGGAACTAAAAAGGCTAAACCCTTTTTCCCCTCCCCGAGGATCCYATCCCATTTTCCCGTCTAATTCACCCTCGGGAGCTCTGCTTCCCAGACACCGCGCCGCTCTTTTGTCCTCGGTGCGAGGCCTCGGCTGAGCTTTTCACATATGTCAACACTCGCCCGTAATTAGCTCTCGGCGCACAATGAGCCATTCCCGCTCTCCAAAGGGCTCAGCGTGCGGCTGCTCCCGCCGGGGGCGCGGGGCTGCTCCGGGGCTGGGCGGGTGCCCAAACACCAGCACCGTTCCCTACTGTTGTGGATACCGCGGTTTGACAGACGGACACACAGACCGTGTCCTTTGTTCCGCAGTCGGGACAGAGCTGCCTTCACAGACCGGGCAGAGGTGTTTATCTCTGCTATGCTGTGCTGCGCCAGATCTTACCCGGGCACCGCCGCAGCGGTGCGGGAGGTCCGGCTCGTTCAGGCGGGCCGCGCCCRGCCAGAAGCACCCCAGCCCTCGCCTCTCCCCCGAGGACACGGCAGGACAGGGCAGTCCCCGAGGAAGCTGCGTTTCCCCCCGCACACAGGGCGCGGGTCCCTACGGACACCCCTCKCTCCCCCCCGCGGCCCCGGGGCGGAGCTCTGTTCGCCCCGCCCGGCAGCGCCGCGCCTGCGCCGCTCGAGGCGGGACACCGAGGAGTTCCGCGGCGGGCGGCCGGTGCCGGGCTGGGCGCTGCGGGACGGCCGGTGAGTTCGCTCTAGGGACAGGCCGGGCAGGGGCAGCGCGTTCCGCAGAGCCTCCCTCGGCTCCCGCCGGCGCTCGGACTTCGCCTGTGGCCGTTCCTGGAGCGGGCGGGCTGAGCCTCCTGCTGCCTCCGCCCCGCTCCGAATCGGTCGCGTCCCGCAGCAGGAGCGGCTCTCGGGGGACCGGACCGGACCCGGCCCGGCCCGGCCCCTCCCGGGGCGTCCTGGGCGTTCTGCCTCTGCGCCGGTACCGCGGTATTGCCTCATCGCCTAAAAATACCTCCTGGCCGCCCGCCGGGGCGGGGGCCGCGCTCGGCGGGCGGGTTTGGGCACCGGCGGAAGCGCGCAGCTTGTGCCCGGCCTGGCTTTCGGGGTGCGGGTGAGTTCAGGTGTCGTAGCCGCGGGGTTGTCCCAAAATAGGTTCTTTGACCTGCTGTGCATGAGGCTAATCCCCGCACAGAGCCAAGGTACTTGGTTTACTTGCCGTTCTGAGCAGAAGGTCTGGGTGGCAAATACACAAGGCCAGCACGACGACTATCAAAACTTTTCACTAATTATACATTTTAGCCCGCAAAGAGATTAATGTTTATTGGCTATAAGTTTACATAGTTCTCTGGTTAATGAGTATTCTGTATTTTATTGGTTAAATTATTCCCTTGCTTCTCATGTGAAGTAGTCTATGTGCTCAGTCTTTCTTTTCTTTTAGGTAAGTGGTGATCTGTGAGTTGCTGGTCATGATTTTGCCCTGCCGRAATTACCTTTTCCCCATTTGGAAATGATTGCAGCACAGTTGTTGAGCTGGCTTTATTAGTTTYTTCCTTATCGTGGAAGTTCTGCCCAGTGTCCTTGTGGCCTGTAAATTCTGCATTCTTTGTGTCCACTGTCACTGGTACATCATTCTTCCCAAGCTTTGTTAACCTCCCCCTAGGTCTAAGATCCTTGGAAGTATGTCAAGTCCTATACCTTATCCAGGTAATTCTCCAGGCAACTAATTTATGCTTCTAACACCTGGACATCAAGGYTGGGGACAGGTTTCTTTCTGAATGCACAGCTCCTTTGCCAGCTGGAGAGGAAGCATGAATGCTGTTGTTTGTACCTGGGCACATCAGTCACATTCAGGCCATTAGGTTTAATGCTTATCTCACTATTAATTTGTACTTGCCATTTCTCTGTAGCCTCCTGTCTCTCTGTGGCACAGTACATTGCAGTTTTCAGCTGTAATTTCTGTGTGGTGCAGGGATAGAATGTGCTGTGCTGTGAGCAGCTCTCAACTGGAGGAGTTTGTTCTGCCAGAGTTAGTAAGGGTTTAGCGGGTTGTCAGGGGAGGGGGCTGCATGTGCTTCTGGGAATATTTCTGCCCTTCACAGCAAGGAAAGCCTCACAGGTAGTTTCTGTTTTGTTTTTCTCATATTAAAATAACTGGAAGTTGGGGCTCAACAGTRTTGACCATAAAAATTACTTGCCAGAACAAATACATATTGAGGGCTGACTGTTTGGATGTCCTAGCTGTGAAAGGCCACTGCTGGGTCAGTGGCCCATCTTCATGGGGCTGGAAGGCCCCTGAGGCTGTGTGGGAATGGCCAGGAGTATCCTAACCCGTTAATAAATGTMGCTGTGGTGGGCTGTTGGCATTTTCAGCTTCTTCCCATGTTTTAAATTTAGTTTCCGGAGGTGGTAGTTCAGTTCTGAGGTACTTTTTGCCACTGATGCAGAAATTACGTACCAAAATTCTTAAYGCTTCTCCAACTAGAGATGTCTGTCAGAAGTTGGTGAGAGGAGGTGGTTTGTGGTGGTTGGGTTGACATGCTGAGCTTAAGTGCCTGCAGTGCATTCTGATCTCTATGTCCTAATGGCTTTTGGTCATAATAAACATCAATATGCTGTATAGGATGATTCTTCACCTTGAGAGATTAACACAAACATTTCTTCTAAATGTAATTGCTTTTGTGCTTTAGAAGAAACAGCATCTTTCACAGCTGAGCAGTTTTGAATACTATTCATGCACATTTGAGGCCAGCCTCATGTTGCCAATGAGCTAATTTGAAGAGCCGCTTCATTGTGTCCGTTGCTTTTTAACAGCTCTGATGACAAGTCACAGAGGATCAACAAAAGCAGATGGCAGGAGGTGGCTCTTGTTGCTTTGGGGAGTAGCCTATTGGAGTGAAAGATTAGAAGATAAGCRCATTAACACAATTAACACAAACCACAAAGAATTACTTTGGACTAAACACCAGAAAGAACTTTGTGCCAGAGTGTGTTAAAGCTGAATTTGAGAGAAGTTTGAAAAAGTTAAGCATTCCAGTTTCTCTCTGCTTACCTGATACTGGGAGTTCTTTTTTCCCAAGTGCAGTACAAAGTTCCAAGAGCAACAACAGATGTGCATCAGATATGCAATAGATATAAACATCATCATGTACCAGCACAGTCTTGCCTGATAGATGTAGGGCTCAGGCAGAGCATTTGTGGGGCAAAAAAAAAGACTGTAAATCTTGTGTGACATGTCAAAGGTGAGCAAAATATAATGTTTTGACTTAATGCATAACAGCACTACTTAAATTTAAGGTTGACCATTAGAGGGTTTTTTTGGAGGCTTATATAGCTTCCTACRGAATGTGTCTCACATGGATTTTAACTTTCAAGTTGAAAGAATACCAATATTAAAGTCTCAAGAAGCATGAATTAGTACTGCATGTAGTAGGTTTATTTTTGGTTAGTGCTGCAGTGAACGTTGTTTTCCCCTAAAATCTACATCTTGTTAAATTAGCTCTCAAGACCACTTAAAGTTTGAATTASTGGTGCTGTGGATACTGCTTTGTTCAGGAGTGTGGTGGCTGTCACTGCTAAGTTTCATTCTCTCTAAAAGCCACACACAATGTCATGACTTAGTCCTGAACAGGACTAGAACAAAACATCTATGTAACCACTGGTCATCAGGGATAACTCTATGAACACAGTTGCAACCTAAAATTTTCACTTTACTATGCGCTTTTCTAATTTTAGAGTGATTTTTACTTTTTAAAGGATGTTTTGGGGAGTTTGTGGCTTTTTGTGACTTTCTGTAACTTTCTTCAGAGCACTCAGAAGTGACTGTGATGAGATCAGTGTGGGTTTCTTTATTTCTTTTGACTCAGCAGCCTAATTCTGTAGCTTATTTAGTTCTTACAAATCCAGGATTTTCTTGTCAGGTCACAATAGGCCAGAAATGATAATTCATCCTTCCTGAGTTGCTGCAACAATGTCTTGAAGAAAGGTAGGAAGGGGAATCTGACAAATCTTSCCCCTTTAGGTAATGCAGAGTTAAGGTGAAGGTCACTCAAATGCCTGCAATGGCAGTGCAGTTTCTCTGCAACCATCTCATAGTGCTGTGTAAAATCAAGGAAGTTTAAACCATGCCACCCAGGAAAGGAATGTGGTATTTTTTCCTCCCTTTGCAGAAGTGTGGGCATGTATTTTCACATAACACTTCACTSTTATTATTGTGGAATGTATTTTGTACATTTATGAAAAGGTAACCTTGYTTCTGAACGTCTGGAGCAGATGCATGGTTCATGTGTCATTAAATTAGAAACTGCAGGAAAACAAAGAACCATCTGGAGACTTGGTGGGGGGGAGGCTGAGGTTTTTGTTTAACTGTATTATCAAACACAGGAAAGAGTGCTTCAGCTACAAAAGGAGGCAAAGTGTGATGGGAATTTTGTTTTGTTTTSGTTTTAAACCATTTTCTTTTTGTRATTAGGGGAAGCACCAGAATGAAAGACATGGACAATATCAAAACTGTAAAGAAAGAATGGTAGGTGCCAGTTCTTCCCACCCCATTTTTCCTCTTCCTTACACACTACTGTTTGTGTGTCCTGTCATTAGTTTTCAAACTTTCTGTTAAATTCTAAAACACAGTATTTTTACTGTATTCATCTGCTCTACATATACTGAAGATTTAAAAAAAAGTCCTATTGTTTTGCTGAAAGATTTTTCACATACCTGAAATGTTTCCTAGATGCAAGAAGCTGTGTAAATATTTTTATTTAAAATAGCAAGGCAGCCTTWCAAGTTGCTAACTCACTGTGCAGCTCTGCATCTGGTATGGAGGTATTTGCTTTTCCAGTTCTGTTTCTGAGGTGAAGCAGAGTGAATACTTACATTAAAGATTCAAAGGTGTTTTTTTTTGTTCTTTTAGAAAACTAAAGTAGGGACAGCATTATTTTGAAATTTCTTTTTTAATGTTGTTGAGGTTTTATTTTGTTTAAGATGTTAATCTCCAGGGATTCTCAGTGTTGCATAGATGCACCGCAAACAATTCYATTTTATGCAAATGTATCTAATTACCATTCCAGTAAGCATTGCTGCTCTTGAATTCAATGCAGAGTTTTATGTAAAACTGGATATTTTTTCAAAAGCTGGGATTTTTATTTTCTGAATTGCTTAAAATAGACTTTTCTGAATCTCCAGTAGGAGTAACTCCTGCAATGTTTTCAAAAAAGCTGCATAATCTTCTTACTATGCAAAGAACCTCTACTGAGATAATCATTCATTCAGGTTGCATATTTCTGCATTTTGATTGGTGAAAGTTTAACAGAAACAGCTGTCACATATACAATGTTCTATAAAAAGATGTGGTTGATGCATCTTTTTTAATACCCTGGCAGTCTCCACAGTGTTGAAGGCTTCTATTTTATTTCTTCAGTGTRCTCCAGTGGTGTTGGGCCACTTGAGTTTCCCTAATGCACTTTCCAAAACACTAATGGCAGTCCTGGGATGGTGCTGGGAATGGGGAGGTTCAAGTGGGGGTGGAGGAGTAAATCCTAGGGCAATTTTCATGTATTTTTTTAAAACTCACAGCAAAGAAACCCAAGCCTATATAATGGAAATGCTTTTAGGAAAGCCCTTCATTGGTGTGCAGCTAAGTATATGATGGCTAGAAGTATGAATCATCTAACTTGCATTCCTTGCTCTGATACCAAGTTTAGAAGCTTTGCATAGATTAGTTCATCTTTTCTGATGTTGTTCTTTAGCGTGTGCCTTTGAAGTGCAAATAGTAGCAGTTAGAGATTGGTAAGAAGTTTACAGAAAAGGCTCAATACAAAACTGACCTGATGTTTTGTAGCAGCTCAGTAAGCTGGGTGCAGAAGAATGTGCCTTCTGTATCTCCTGGTACTGAGCTTCTGAGGTACTTGCTTGACTTCTAATGTGTCCTCTGAGGAGTCATTTTGGCTTCTGTGTTTGTTCTGCAGGGTGTGTAAATCAGGAACCGATGATCAGATTTTGAACGGTACAGAACAAAACTGTGACTGCTTTGTAGATAACCTGTTTGAAGAAGCTCAGAAGGTTGGTGCYATGTGTGTGCTCCCAACTACAGTCAAGAACCAGGTAGGGAGTGAAGAAAAAAATACTTATGTTTGATATAACAGCACTCCACTTGTATTCTGGAAAACAGATGCCAGAAGTCCAGCAGTTTTTTCCCAGTACATCAGTAAAAAAATGCACTCAGAATTCAGAGAGCTGTAGGAACAGCCTCTCGTCTTCCAGTCAGCCAGGTTTTTTGCTGCTGGGCTTTTGGGTCTTACTGCTTTATAGTGGGATTAGAATCATTCTGCAACTGATGGTGGCATTGGCTAATGCACTTCTGCTTTATTAGTAAGGAGAGTGAGGTGAGCAGGAGTTCAAGGAATGACAAGTAGTATTACATAAGAAGTTATTTAAGGAGCTGCAGCCTTTTTATACAGAGGCATAGCCCAAATATTTTTCATTTGCTCTTATTCATATAATTATGCTAACAGTGGGATGTTCAGTGTGGGTTTGTATCTCAGTGATTCTGTCCTTTTCGTGTTCTTCTGTTACTCATCAGAGACTGGTAAGGGGAGGAAGAAAAGGCCACGTAGAACAAAGATGACAAGAAGAAATTTGGAGTGGGCATTGCTAGAAATTACGTTCACAGATCCTTAACTGACCCTGGAAGAAACGAAAAGTCAGGAGCAATGTCTTAAAATGCGGTTCTGAAATAGTGTTCCATGGCATTAGYTGTGTCAATGCTTAAATGGGAAGTTGGTGTGGAATAATTAGTCCATGTTCAATTTGCATACCGGCCCACTGTAGAGGAACCTTCCCATAATTAGAACTCTTTCCATATGCATTGGTGCCATGAGACACAAGAATTTTTGATGGAAAATCTAATCTTGCTGAGTGCTGTCTACTTTTTTGACAGATTACCCAACCGAAAGAGAAGGAATTTTATTCAGCAGTTTGCACATGCTGTTTCTTTATGTAGCAATCACCTAAGAAATCAAACTGAAAAAAAAAAAAACAAACCCAAAAAAAACCAAAACCAAAAGATCAAACTTGTCAGGTACTATCAAGCCTAGTTCAAACTAATTTCCAGCTGAGGTGAATTCTGCATTTGTCTATACCTCACCTGTGGCTGAGTATCTGTCAAGACAMTGTTATTTCAAGGATCAGACCTGGATGACCAAATGCTTCCTTAAATGGTATGATGAATAAATGTGAAAATACAGTCCCAAATATCTATGTTACAGTCAAAGAGATTTCAGTAAACAGTGTGAAGGCTACAAGTTGGAGTAGTGGATGGTTTCTGGCAAAGTTAAGGAATTACTGAGAATTTTTTTCATTCCCCTAACCACCAAGGTTTTGAATACACCCAGGAATTCCAGGGTAAAATAAACGTATGACTGTCTGAAAGTAAATTTTCTGATAYTTGCTTCATTTCCTGAGTGAAAGGCTTCTGCATGCATCATCTCAATGCCTTTACTTTGAGAAAATCCTCCTAAACGATTGGAACAAGGCTTTACCCTAATATATCCCCAGCTGGACTATTCTGKCAGTTGGTGTTTCAACACCAGGCATGTGTGCTCTCAAATTAGCTCTTGAAGAGTTGCAGCTGGCTGGGATAGTCCAGCTTTTTTTTTTTTCTCTCCTGAATTGAAGGAGTGTTCTTGACCTAGGAAGCCAAAATGATTGGGGGAAGGTTTGTTTCTAACCCTGATTGACACAAGGTACTTAAAAATGTCACTTACCCCTTGCAGTTGCTGTGCCTGCTGGCACAGGGCCAAGGCAGATTACAGTGAGCCTGCTCTCAGTATTTTTAGTCCAAGAAGTGGATGATTTATAATCACAGGGTATGTGGGTATACCAAGCTTCTTTTACATCAGTGTTATAATGAGAATTTTTCTTACTCTGTAGGTTGATGTAATCATTAAACTTTGGAAAAATGGRTTTACGGTAAATGATGGTGAACTTCGGAGCTACACTGATGTGGCAAACCAGCAATTCTTGGAGTCCATTAAAAAGGGGTAAGTGAGTTTTGTGTTCTTAGCCAGCCTGAGTTAATGTGCTTTGGGTAGCACTTAGCTTATGCTCTAAATTTTTTACGTGGCTTTGCTGCACTGCAGTGTCCCTGTAGGAGCGCAGGCCCTGCCAGTCTTGTTCCTGCAGTGCTAATGGCTGTTGGAACATCAACAGGTTTAACACAGCTCTCAGTGGCTGTAGTTGTACAGTTGCTGATGAATAGATAAAAGCCAGTGTTGATGGGGAGCACAGCAGGTGCTGAATGAAATAAAGAATAAATCAGTGCCCAATAAGAGCTACAGATCAAATGGTATTCTGACTAATGAACTCGATGCACAAGAGGTTGAGCATTTCTGGTTTTATGGTCTTTGTTTTCTATTTCTTGATGAAAAGCCTTAAATGGGCACAGATGTTCCATGTAGCATCAAGAAGCCCTTATCAGTCTTAAATTTCTATCATTTCTCCAAGTACAAGCTTGCTGTTGTGTGTACATAGCAATGTTTCACAAATCCCTGTGTTAACTTTTAACATGCTGTCCTGATTTCTGCTAGTGTTTGCAGTGTTGCTTTAAAAAAGGAGTTTGACCATACAAACCAGTGTGACTTTGAGCCTTTAATTTGTAGTCTGTTTCCTCACCCCTACAAATGGAGAGGAGAATATAATTTTATGGATAATATAATTTCATACCTCCTTATCAAGCATGTGAAATTACTAAGTCATTATATTTTTCTTTTCCATATTTTGCTAAGCCAATCAAAAATACTAATTTTACACTATTTCTCCTGTATGGCTGTCACCTGTGTTAGCTGTAATAGTAATTAACTGTGCTGCTTAAAGCCCTTAGTGTGCATTCATCAAAAGTTTGCCACTTTTATTCGACTGTTTGCCTGTGAAGATGCTAATTATGAGATGGTTTCTGCATAATCATTGATGGTAGAGAAGCATTTGGTACAGCCCTTGTGCCAGCTGAGCCCCATCACCAGAAATTGTACTGTCTGCATCAGAGCTCAGAGACAAAGGCATTGTTGTGTTCTGCTTAATGCGATTAAAGCATTACCAAGGTGATGTTACTATACTAAAGAGTGGAGCTATTAATGATGATATAATTTTTTAAAGCTGAGATCTGTGGGGTTTTTTTTAATTAAATATGTTGTGTCTAAACTCAGTTCTTCTTCTTTAAAAGCCTTTTTGTTTTACTATGGGGATAAAATAACTGAACTGTTGCAGCAGTGTATGGCAACACTGAACTTCCTACACATCATGTGTTTGGAGTGRTAACTGCTGAGTAAATTTGAGCATCATTCAACAACTTGCATAACAGGGTTTTTTTTTATTATTATTATACACTTTCTAGTTAATTTGCAGTTCAAGAACTTGAAGTTATTTGTATGCCATGCACTTAACCTGACTCTCAGTAAATACTTGAGAAGTTGTTTTTTAAAAGCATCATCCCTGAAAGGCCAAATGTTGAACAGTTATTAATCACTGGTCTATTTTGTATATTGAAAACAGTACACTACTCTTTGACATTCTGTCTTTTTCTTAAGGGAACTGCCTTTTGAGCTACGAAAAGTTTTTGATAAGGAGGAGATAGAAGTGAAAGTGGAAGATCAAAAGGATAAGGTGTATTTGTCTTCAAAAAAGCCAATGTTTCATCCCTTTTCTGGACATGGTTACAGATTAGGAAGGTGAGTAGGTTCATGTGATCTATGATTGAGTAGCTCAAGGGAAATATACCTATGGTGAAGGATCATAATTCAGGTTGGAAATGATCTCTGGAGTTTTCAAATCTAAGCTCCTGCTCAAAGTGGGATCATCTGTGGGGACAAATGAGGTTACTCAGGCTTTTATCCAATTGGGTCTTGAAATTCCACAAGAGCAGAGGCTGTGCAGCATTCTTCAGTGCTGCACTGTCTTCATGGGAAATAYTTGTTTTTTCTTTGTATGGAATCTGAATGCCTTTCTGAGCTTCTGTCCACCATAAAGAGCAGGACCCCCACCTGCAGACCCCACAACCACCACTATCTCTTCCACAGGCTGATTGAACTGCTCTCCTCCAGCCTCTGCTGACAGTGAGTGCTCCATCCTGCAGGCATCTGGGTGTTTCTCCATGAGCTTGGGAGATAATTGGCTCCCACAATCTGCTGGATGTGTTGCTGTGTTGATAWAGCCAGGGATGCTCTTGGCTTTCTTTGTTCAAGGTCACAATATTAGCAGTACTGTTTCCAGTTGAAATGCTGTCACTCTCCTATTCTGTGATTTAAGAGAAAATGATATCTTTTCAAGCTGTATGTGCAGTAGTTGGAGAAGAGCAGGGAGTATGACAATCCTGTAAAGGGAACTGAAGAAGTAAGAGGTTATTTTGCATTCTCTTAAAATTGTTCAGCACTTAATCATGTGTTTGTTTCAGTAAGGCATTTTAGCATTTTACAGTGATCCATGTCTCTTTTGTATTTGGAAAGTATCAGCCACTCATGCCGATGCTAAAACTGGACTTGATTTACAATCAAACAATAATTGTATTTTAGAAGACTGTTGTAGACTGACAGGCCAGGAGTTCATTTATTTGATCTGTGACTTTTGCTTACTCCAGGCCACATTGTCTRCTTGACATATCCCTGTCATGCTAGACATATAAAAGCAGGCTTTGGCCTAAGGAACAGGACAAAGGAGTGACCAGGAGCCTACATGAGGTATCCCAGGTGGCACTGCTGAATGACCTGCAGGCTGGGGTTCCTGAGCTGTGGTACAGTCTTCGGTGAACAGCTTGTTTCAATTAAGTGGGAAGGGTTTGGCTGCTAAAGCCCAGCTTGTGCTGAGGGAAAGCCTGACCTGGGCAGGAACAGCTGAGGCAGGGGAAGAAGATAATGTGYCAAGAAAAAGACAGATAAAGGTAAAGGATGAGTGGTTGCAGGCTGAGTTAGAGAAGCAAGTATCTGTTTTATGAGTTTCATCTGTTTCTGTAGCACAGTCCATTCAGTTGCTCCATGCTTGAGTACATACAATCAATAGGGAAGATGGTTCCTAGAGAGATGGATGAGATGCTGCAATACTTGCTTTTGGTGGAACGGAAATCCTGAGCAAATGGGGGTCAAGAACTTAACTTTACTTTATCTACAAGCTGTAGATAGCAAAACCAAAAAGATCTTTGGTGTGCTGGGTTCGTGCTGCTAACCAGTGCTAAATGCTAGGTTGTTAAGTCACTTGTGCTCTGYCATGCCTACAGCAAGTAATGATCTTGCCTCCCAGTGGGCCAGTTAGGTTTCAGAAACATGCTAATCTGTGAATTTTGGTTGACTGGTCTTGTACACTGAGACATCCTACAGCTTGCTCAGCGTTTCTTGATTTTTTTCCTACTCTTGCTAGTCTCTCCTGTGCTTTGCTGTCAGAGCCTTTTCTTTAAAGACAAGTAAATATTTTTGCTGATGTTGGAAACATGAGCTGTAAGTGCTCCTRCTCTGTAAAGCAGTGCTTGCTTCTTGCTGTTGATAAATGTCCATTGCTGCAATTGCAGCAGAAAAGCCTTGTGGAGCAGTAACAGAGCAAGCTGAGACCTGGAACAAGTTTTAAGCTATAGAACTCCTTTTTCACAGTTTCATTTGTGTGATGAATTGGAAATGAGAGAGACAAATTACTAGAGAGTTTGCTTCAGCTTATGGCCTAACTAAACCTCTGCCTAGCAAATAAACTTACAAAATTGTGTGTATTTTTTTGTCAGTGTTCCTAAGTGGAGAGATTTTGTGATGGATAAACCATCATGAATTGGTCTATTGACTGGTTCTCAAAACTTTTGTTGGAGGATATAGAAATAGCATGTATGTTTATATAGCTCAGATAAGCTTGATCTGCCTTTATTTTATAGATGTGAGACCTACCAAAATTTTCCAATGTACCTGTGTAACGAATAGATACATCTTCTTTTATCTATCACKGTTCAGCTGCATTTCATAGTTCAGGATTATGAGTAGATTTGCAACCCCCCTTTTCTATTGAGCTAATCTATGCATCTCTGAGACTGCCTCAGAAACATGTTAATTAAACTATTGACTGAAATCCCTTGTAGCAAAGCAGGCTTGCTCTGTAACCTCATTAGGGTAAAGCATTGTGTGTCAAGCTGCTTAACCATCAGTCAGGGTGAGGCGTGATACCTAACTCCTGGGCGTTTTCCTGTCAGAAAATTGACAGGGTGCTCTTCTGTCTCTTTGATATCCAGTTTACATCTTCTGTTGATAATCTTATAAAAGGAATAAGTCYTAAAAGGAGTTATAATGCTTCGATCTCAGGCTAATAAGACTTAGATTCTTGGGTTTTGGCCTTAGTCAGAGCTTCCACCACTAGATGGCTTTATCTGTCAGTTCTGCAAGAGAAAAGTTTTTTACATATAGAAATGCTTTAAATCTTGGTGGATACAGATGTTCTAGCTTTATCTTAAAGCTTCACTTAATGTGTTGGCTGTAGTCCCACACACACTTGCTATTGAAAGATTCACCTCCAGCGCCTACCACGTATGGAGCTGTGACTGTGAGGGAATGACACCAAATCTGTGTCCACACAAGAGAATTGTCTGAGCTACATCTGTGACCGATGTGGCCCAGCCCAGCCTGAGCCAGACCCCACAGCTGAGCACCTCTGCAGCCTCTGCTGTCCTGGAGGCAGCTCACTCACAGATCAGTGTCTGAACCAGCAGCTGAGTGAGGAGACAGCAAGGGCTGGGCATTCTTGGACTGAAGTATGGCTTGAAATTTTTTTTTTTTTTTCTCTGCTTGCAAAACTGCTTAACATTATCTTGCTGGTAGTCAAGCTTTTCTTCCTGTTCTGGAGGGCAATTAAGTTTTATATAGGTCAARCATGAGCGGAAGCTGTTTGTGAGATAGTGAGGCAGGTGGGTGGTAGTACATCACCTSTACTTGTAATGCCAGAATATTTTACAGATGTGCCTCTTGTAATTCTTGGTGCCAAGTGCTTGTGCCCCAGTTAATTTCTGTGTACTACAAAACAGTTCTGTACCTCTTATCAGTCTCCAGTCACAGTGAACATCTCTTATTGCTCACTTGGAAATGAGATTTCTTGATTCTCATAATTTTTACTGAGTTTCTGTGATGCCCCTACTGGTTGATATCCTAGAAGTTAGGGCAGCATTTAACTAAGCAGTGGGCAATAAAAGTTTTTTAAATACCTCTGACTAAACTTGCGCCTAAGACTCCAGCTTTATTAGCCTGAACATATTAAGTCATTAACTATTAATAAATTGTGACTTTTCTGCCTTATGATTAAACTAACAGGTAAAGGAACTTAAAAATGGGGATTGTCTGCAAAACAGGTATGTGGTATGGTTAAGACTATTAYTCTATGGCCATTAGTTACCCACTTCTCCCTCAAGAAACTGCAACTCCCCAATTTTCTGTGCAAAGGGAGCTTTTCTTCAAACTGCCGTGTGGCGCTCATGTAGTCAGTGACCACAGCTGAGCTCAAAGGAGAAATGGTAACTCCTTAAATCACTGCTATTGTTCTGCAAACATCTGGTTACACTCATAGGAGCTGAGAATGTGCCCGTTGGATCAGGCCCAGTGAGGACTTAAACTGTACATGCTGAACAAGCTTAGTCATGAAAGAACCACTAAGCTCTAGACATTTCTTCAGAATAAAAATTTTTGCCAGCAGGTTTTTTATTGTTTGTTTTTTTAAGACCACGCACTTGGACTGAGGTCTATGTGTTCTGTCAAGTCATTTTATGAATCTTTGCCTGTGTGGTTGGGTCAGCTGTTGAAAATGTCTTAGGAAAAAACAAATCCAAATGCTGTGTGCATCRGTCTGGATTTTTCACATTAAGTCAATTTCTCTGATAGATGAGTAATTCTTCTAAGCTGAAATAGGTTATGCTGGAGTCTAAATCAAGACTAACAACATTCAGTTAAATTGAATTATGGTAATCACATTATGCTGAAAATTAACTTTGAGTATGCAAATTCAATACTCAACCCCCTTAAAGTTTCACCTGTGTGATTAGAGTACAAAAATGCATGAAGACTCTTCAGACTGTTTTGTCTCTTGTATATTCGTATTTAATTCTCTGATATTTCAGTTCCTTTCCACCTTAAAAAATGTTAAACACAAGCAAAGTGGAATTTTTTAGCATGTTTTAGTCTTTAAGTGAAAATATTGGCATACATGTAGAAAAAAAAGAAAAAAAGATAAAAGCTGATAGTTACGTCAGTGTTCCTGTATTTGTTAAAATAAGTCATCAGTGCACTTTGCCATGGTGCAGAAAGCTCCAGAAGCAGAGGTCTGGAGGGAGRTTCAAGCTTGCATGTGTACACAGAAGCCATAACCTCATATGGCTTTTCTTTTCAGTGCAACTCCAAAGATAATCTCTAAAGTAAGAGACGATCATCAAGCACCTGATGACAAAAGGCACCTACCTTTAGTACCATTGAATGATTTGGAGCCTATCACCAACATCCAGATCTGGTTAGCTGATGGGGAAAGGATAATTCAGAAATTCAATGTTTCTCACAGGTAAGATTTAGTTTACCACTGTCATACTTATTTGCACCTGAACTATTTATCTTAATGCCTGTACATATAAGTCTCTAATTTCTGTGAATAATCTACCTCCTCAGTTCATTTAGCATTGGACTGCTCTTCAGTTGTRTCTGGAAAACCTTTGAAATTTTGAGAAATCCTTTAGCTGACAAGAGAGGAGTATAAAAAGGAATGTGAAGTGAAAAGTTGGCTCATAACTGAGCATAAAGGAAAATCTGAGGAAACTGTAGGAGCTCTTTGCAGGTTAGTGGAAGTTAAAGTGAACATATTGCTCATTACTAGAGGAAATAGCTTTTAATGTGATAGATCTCCCACAAAACAACTACATCTGGAGCAAATAGCTTRGTAAAAAGCCTGCTAGTCATTGGGCATAGACAGCACCACAGCTGGGAGCTGGGGAATGGGACTTAGAGCTGAGCCAGAGAAACCTCTGGGGAGGGCTGGAGTAGGTGCTCTGGGCAAGAGGCTCATCCCCTGCATGCCAACATGGACAGAATTGAATACACGGAGTGTGTTTAATTCTTAATTAATAAAATTTCTGATTCCCAAAGAGGCTTAGAAATGGGGATAATGTCAGAAGGTGTCAGCACAGCACAAGTATGCAGGAGCTTTGAGAAAGTGGGATTAACACTTTAAATTGTAGAGCTGCTGTCTTTAGAGACCTTTCTCAAATCCTAGTTTGAGAAATTACTCCAGTACTATACAGTCATGTCGTGTGGAAAGGATATGTTGCCTGTGCTTCTCTGTGAAACAATTTAAAGCTATCACAGATTTAATACAACCCAGACTGCTGTCAAGATAAAGTGTATGTCTGTGGCTGGTCAGAAGGAGAGCTCAGCTGTTGAAGGTTAATGACTGTAGTGTTTTCTTTGACTTGTACTAATTTATTACTGTTAGTGGCCTGAGATATGAACTGAATCACTGTTATGATGTACTGCTGAAGGATAAATTGCTATTTTCATTGAAGTGCTTAATATCTCAATTATTTCAGGTTCCACACATTTAAATAAATTTGGAAGCTTTTTGTCTTCATGGTAAATAGTAATTTGAACAGCTGCTAAGTGCTTTTGAGAGGAAAAAAAACATCTGAGATAAGCAGCACTGCAGCCTTACTKGTGTAGTAGTAATACTTCTTTTTGAAGTAGTGTACAATAAATTATTCCATCATAACAGATCCTCTTGCCACAAAACCAGCACGTTTGTGCTGTACACAGTATTTGTGTATGACCTGATAAGAACTGGAGGGAAATCCTTTCTGAGTACATATCCTTAAGAGTGATGATTGCAGACACAGCACTTCTTTCAGTGCAGAAGACAGTCAGCTATTTGTTAAGTAAGGTATAGATTATTAACTATAATATATGTAGCACATATATTGTAGTGTCTGGGTAAATTGATTATTTTKGGCTTTTTGCAGCCAGATTGTGTAGGTGCCACAGTTGCTGCTACCTTACATATGAGTTGATTACTGATGAAAGGTTGGAGCAGAAGCACCAAGGAACCAGTGTAGTGTTGCAGTGTGGGGATTTGAGACACAGGAGTGTAGAAATAGGAGAGCAGAGCTGTAGGAATAGCATACAGAGCTGTGTCCTGGATCGAGTTGTGTCCCCTCTTGAGCACTTGCTAGGTTAGTGTGACTCTGAAGCATCAGGAACGAAGCCTGGAAAGGAACTTGTTCACCCTGAAACAGAGAGGTGGTGGCTAATTGCCTGAGTTGCTCTTGGAACCCAGTGAAATTTGATATAATACATTTACACCTGTAAATATCCAACAAAAAATTGAGTCCTGCTTGAGGTTTTTCAGGCTCTTGGCTTGTAAGACCAAGCAGTRTCTCTGTATTGAGGTCTGTGTGCCCAGGACAGGAATTAGTTTTTATTTTGCGGGCTGTATCTGTCCTGGTGATTGTGGCTGAGGCATGGAAACCTGGACATCTGTGCTGCTGAACTCTTAGGATGGCATTGCCCCAGGTCAGCCAGCAGTTCCTCAGTCAATACCTAGCCAGATGCTGGCTCCTGGAATGGTCCTGGACCATTCCCAGGAGACAGGAAACCCCATGGGGGAAAGGAAGGATGACTTTAGAAATTTGCCAGCAGCCAGTCTGCCAGCTGGCCTCAGGATCAGAGAACGGACGTTGACACTGTGTTTATTTTATTTATACAGATGTGTCTTTTCATCTTCATTTTCTAATTAAATTGGTCAATCCTGATTGCTCCACAGCAAAACCTCTGTCTTGCTCCCTTGTTGGAAGGTTCTTCACACCTTCACAGACAGACTGAATCTGTAATGAATTCACCCCTGGTTTGGGAGGATGGGATGTACTTAGATCTAGTTAATGTATCACCTGTATTTTTGCAAACCCTTTTTCTTTATTTTTATTATGGTTCYGCTATGTGAACCACACACTGGAGGCATTTTTATTGTAGCTCTTGGCTACAGAACCCTCAGGTAAGAGCTCCACCAGCTGGTTAGGAAATGGTAGGTTTGTGTAGCTACCATCTGASCCACAGTAGTGCATTTGAGTGCTCAGAATAAGATACTCATCCCTGTTCCCTTGGGAGTACTTCAGAGCATGCAGATGTTGTCCTTGCCTCCCAAGTGGATCAGGCATTTCAGGATACCRCCTTGTCGATATTGCTCCAGTTCTGTGCTGTCAGGCATTACCTGAAGTGGTAATCATTCCTATCCCATGGTGGCTCTGTGTGTTGTGCAGCATGTGGGAATCACAGTRCCAGAACTCTAATGCTGAGTTTTCCTACTTTTCTTCTCAGAATCAGCCATGTCAGAGACTTCATAACAAAATATCAAGGATCTGAAAGAAGTGTTCCCTTCACACTGACAACCTCCCTTCCCTTTCGAGAGCTGCAAGATGAGACACTCACACTTGAGGAAGCAAAGCTGCAAAATGCTGTTGTTGTTCAGAGACTTCGGAAAACAACTGAACCTTTCAGACTCTTAGTGATAAAAGCACCTGACAATGACTACAAAACTGCTGCTACACCTAATGGACAGCTCAAGAATGAGCAAAAAATTGCTATCAATAGTACAAGATCAAACTAGCTTCTAACTAACCAAAAACTATCTGCAGGGGGAACTAGGCAAAACCAAAAATGTAACCAGCAATATGTGGATGCCCTCACATCCTCATGCACTGTCCTCTTAGAGAGCAGAATGGGTGCTGTGCTGTCATCTGCTATCATAGAGGTATTTTCAGCTAAATTGGATGGTCAGAGCCTGGCTGTATAATGTAGCAGAGGTAACTGTACAGCAGATCATCCTTAGAATTTCCTTAGGTAAAAAGCTTCTTAGTTATTTAATAAGTGGGTCTAGGTGGAACAGTTCTCTGAGACTTAATTACTACTGATAGCACCTTCTAAGGAAAAATAGTATTTATTTTTGCACTTTGGACTAAAGTGAAACATTTCACTTACATTGTGATGTAAACAGCTGCCATTTGCATTCTTCTCACAGTAACTCTTAGATAACCAATACTGCAGGAATGCTCACATTTGAASTCTTAACTTAAAAATCTTCAGGATGTACCTTTATCACAAGATCTGCAGTGAAATAATGTTCTGTCAGGTCTTCACATGGTGTTAGGTGCATGTGTGAGAAGACAGAGATGAGGTAGTCTGGTGCATACTGCATATGAAGTGCCTCAAAGTAAGCTCTGAAAGAATTGTTCTTACCAATGGTTGAAGTGGTTGCTGCTTCTTTTGAGCTGCTACGGGTGTCTTGCAGATCAGGTGATGTTAAACTACCTAGCTCATTAGCACAGACCCACTTTTAGCTTTGTCACACAGAAACTTCAGCTTTTTTGGCTATCACCATGCAACGGCAGTGGCTTAGAGGGACACAGTTGTTTTGTACTGTTTATCTTCCTCTGTCCTGAGCTGTCCAGCTGACTGAGACATTAATTGCATGTGGTCAAGTTTCAAAGATGTTGAAAATCCTTACTTGAAAACTGAACTTTTTCTTTCCACTTTGCCCCATTTCCATCCAAATCCTTCATTTTGCTCTTCATGTACTTGAGGCATAAAGTTTGTAGCAAACTATTCTATGTTTTGTTAAAAGAAAAAACAACATAAAGATGAAATATTTTGTACTGTGTTTACTAAGCATGTGGGTTTGTGAATGGAACTCAAATCTCCGGGTAAGATATCCCAGGATATCCTGACTCCTCTGTGCTACTTGTGCCAGAGGGTGGTTGTTGGGGTTCTACTGCTTTTGTTTGGTTAAGTGAAAGATGGGTTTGGGTTTTTCTGGTTTTGTTCTAAATGGAAAATTACTTCATTGGACAAATTTGTATTCTAAAAAGTAGTGAGACTCTCCTTCATTTCCAAGGATGTAAAACTGGTTTTCTTCAGCATTTCTAATGGTGTGTTTGAAATGAAAGTCAACTGCACAAATACCCATTCAGTGTCTTCAGAAAGCTAATCTCTGAAAACTATGCCTTTAACTCTTTCCAGTGCTGTAAAATTCCTGTGCTACTGTGTCATTCAGGTTTATGCACTAAGTRGTACAACTAAATTTTCTTTCCTCTTGCACTGACTCCTCTATGAAAAACAAAAATAAACATGCAGACAAATCCACTAGTAAACTTGAAAAGACAAGCCACCTACAGACACAGATCCAACCCTCAGTTCCCAGAGCTTCCTGAACTGGGAATTTTATTAATCAGTGCTTTTGAAGTTGTCTTGATGTAAAACTAAGTATTAGAAAATCAGTGCTTGATTGTRAGCTCAGTTGTCCTTATCTAAAAGATGCATGAAATGTCAACAGTAACAGTGAACTACTATTCATGCATTTGCAGCAGAGAAATTTGAAGAAATAGTGTAAGGTTGAAATTGAAAGGAGGAGTGTCAAATTCTCAAGTGGGTAAATCCACTTTGTTTGCAGTCCTTTGGAAGGAGCATTAAGTATTTTGTATTTTAACATTGATTCATGTCTGCTACCAGCATTTTAAGAGATTGGACAGTTTGGTGCTTTACTAAAAACAGCTGTGTCTGGCTACAGCTTTGGTGTACTTGACTGAGCATTTGCAGTTTGAAAGTGTCATCATCTTAATTACTAAATGAGAGAAAATGTTTGGAAAGTCTACAGTGATGCTGGCTGCATTAATCCCATGCTAGACTAGAAAGTGCCTCAAAAAAAAGGCAGTGAACTGTGATTGAATAATTAATTTCCTAACTTGGAGAAAATCTTTGGAATGAACAGAGGACTCTAAATCTAATTGGTTTTGGTCAAGTTTATAAAGACTGATTAGCTAGCTGTAGTGTCTGGACAGCATAATCTCTTGCTTGGCGCTGTAGACAGCAATTTTGCATTGGTCAAGCAGCAGTAAAAGTGGTTTGATCAATGCTAGTATTTGTGAAACACACAAGTAGTATCAGTTTTGCCTTGTTTCTTCACAAGCTTTTGCTATTTTGAGTAAATGTCTCTGCATTAAGATAATTTACAGCAAAATTAAAATAGCCATGAAAAGAACAACAGGAGGAAATGTTTTCTTTACATTTTCCCTTTGTGAAGAAACATGCAGATGCAGGTTTAAACAAAGATTTAACGTGTATGAGGACAGGTGTGTAAAGAGAAAACAACCCCAATGTTGAATTTGAATGTTAGATGCATATCTTATATTTAGCTTAGTACTGGGCAATCCATATCTGTTTTGATGCTCATCTGGCATTGGCCTATAGAGACCCCCTCGGAGCCCAGAAGCTTCAGAGAGTTTTTCAACAAGGTGTGTTAAGGCCACAATCTGAGTCTTCTGTTAAAAGTCTGTTTTTTTAGAAAATTCTTAATTACCTTGTTATTTCAGAATATTGCAAATTAACTATAAGTATTATCAAACGAGGGTGCACAGGGTTGGATGTCAGTATTTCATGTCATGGTTTGCAGTGGCTGCCCCGTACCCACCAGGTGACCCTGTCAGTAGCAGTGCCCTTGGAATCAGTCACGCCACAAAGCCCTGGGTGTAGAGATYGATTAGTCATCATCTCTCATCTCCCCAAGACCAGCAGGTTACAAGTCCTCCATTTGGCTTTGTTAAACCTTCTTCTCTCACGCTGTCTCACTGTTGAAAGGATTCAGACTTCAAAATGCAATTTGTATTTCATTCCTCTGATGCAGAGCATGGTTTCAAGAGCACTTTCCCAGGGGCAGGGTGGTGGTGAACTCGTACAGCCTAGATAAGAGCGTTGGCTCGGGGGCAGCAGAATCACACAATCAATGAGGTTGGAAAAGACCTCAGATCGAGTCCAACCTGTGACCCARCACCACCTTGTCAACCAGACCTTGGCACTGAGTGCCACATCCAGTCTGATCTTAAACAGCTCCARGGACGGTGACTCTGGTGACTCCACCGCCTCCCGGGGCAGCCGCTTACACTATCTAACCACCCTAATGGAAGAATGAGCAGCCGCRTTGTGTGATCTCCGTCCAGCTGACAGAGGACAGCGTTGCTGTCCGACGTGGTTCTACATCCCGGCATATCGGGAAACAGCGCGTCTCTTCAAAAGGCAGCGCTGGCGTTTTGGGGCTGTGGATGGGAACAGCCCCGGCTCCCTCCACCCCCGCACCCCGTCCTTGAGCCCCGTGCCCTGCGGCGCTGCCCCGTTCCTCTCCCCCCGAAGGTGCCGGGGAAGGACGGGGGACGCCGGTTCTGGGGGCTCGGCGGGGTGAGGGAATCTCCTCTCCCGGGCCGGGAGAGCAGTGCCGGCGCCTTTGCCCCTCCAGGGCGCTGGGAAAGGGYAGCGAGGACACCGCCCGCTCTCCCTCAGCTCCGCTCCGCCGCCCCGCCCCGGGCGCGCAGGTGTCGGACGGTGGGATGTCCGCGGTGCCATGGCGGGGGCTGCGAGGGACACCCCGGCGGGCGAGCAGGAGGTAGGGGGCTGCGAGGGGGCAGGGTGGTCGTCAAGAGGCTTGGGGAGTCCCTCGGACACAGCGGGGTCCCGCCACCCCGGCGTTTCGCTCCCGTCCGGGCGGGTCGCGGGGCTGAGGCAGCCCGGACTCACCGAGGCCGCCGGGGTTGTGAGGGGCTTCGTGAGGCGCCTCAGGAGTACCTGAAATAGCTCTTCAACCCTTCCCGCCGCAACCCCGGTGTTTTCCCTGGGATGCACTGCACGGGAATTACTTACTGACCGCTGCGGTGCCGGGRAAAAGCGCCTTSGCTCCCCACCKCCTGTTCCCTCTGGGGCTGTCTCCCGGACCGGACAGGTGCCATGTGGGAGGCAGGAGGGGTTCGCCCTCCCCGGAGCCTCAGCAGSTCCCGATTTTCAGGTGTGGGCTGAGGTGTTGAGCGAGGGTATCTCATGCTGCCTCTCAGACTCGGTGTTCGCTGAGGTGGGAGTGGGAGGCAGATGAGGGTGAGCGAGGACTGCCCCGCTCCRCGGCTCCTGAGGGAACACCGGGTAAAACTGGGAAGGGGCAGCTTCCAAACAGAGGGGCCGAGGAAACCAACGACAAGTTKGGGGGCGTTCAGCCCACCGAGCTCATCAGACTTTGGGCATGTGCTGTTCGGGCTTGAATTTTTGTGTTTGGAAAGCGTCTGGGTGAATTCGTGGCAGAAGCGTGAAGATTTTGCACAGAGATACACCATCTTTGCCTCACACGGCCCCTCAGAGCTGCGTTGCCAGCGGCTCGAAGAATATCCCAAGAAAGTACCCCTGTATCCCACCTTACCCACACGCCCGTCCCTAGATGTCTGCACACAAGCCCTGCTCCTGTTTTCTTCCACTCAAGGGCGGGCTGATGTCGCTAAGAAACCTGAAACCAGTCCTCAGGATGCTCGGTGTGAGGGACCTGGGATGCCACCCGTGACTGCCGCACTCGCGCTTTCAAGAGGCAGTTGTTTGGTCACTCGCAGAACAGAAACATTACCGGTGTTAATTCTATGTTGAAAGAAAAGCTGACTCAAAAGCTGCTCCTCTCTARCTACATTTCATTGTTTCTCAGATAAACCTAGACTAGCATTTATCTTTGAGTCACAGGTTTYGCTGTCTGTTCTTACTGCTTTTAAATTACTTGTTGGTTCAGTTCTGGACTCGACTGATAACAAATAGCTTAGGACAAAACGTGGCTGCTCCCTATGCCCATCACACACAGTTGCAGAGTCGTTTTTAATGTGCTGAAATACTTTCTTTAGAAATATGATGGTCTGCTGTAAACATCGTATTCAATTTCTGTTCTATTGGGGAAGGGAAAATTTACAAGTATGGTTTTAACTTACAARAGAATTAAAAATAAAGGAGCTACAGTGTGGGAGAAGCATTAATTTTCCATAACAATGTTTAAAGTTTCTATTTMAGGAGCAAAGTCAAATCTCTCAGCTGTTATGCTTTCTTGGTTTGCCTTGTAACACAATTAAATATGATATGATGGGAGCATTTAAAAGTATGAAATTGTCAAGTTAATCTGAAAACAAACAAAAAAAATTGTAACTTCATTTGACCTTTCTTCCTCTTACCTTTCACTCCATTGTCTTGCATTTCTCCTAGAGCTTGTAGAAGCAATTTGATGTTGACATTCAACTACACCACGAGAGTCTTGGAACAAAATTTTCATTGTACTTTTATGTTTCATTTCTTACTTGACCACTGCCTATGCTTTCGGGTCTCTAGTGGCYTGTGGAGTGCTTTCAGCTTGCTGACAAACCTGCACAGGTGAAGAAGCTTTGCCTGGATCTCACAGGAGTCAAGCAATTTGTGTTTTTTGAGGAGGCAGTGCAGCAGGGACACCCAGCCCTGGGAGCAAAGCCCTGGGAGCTGCTGATAGCCAGAGCTCTGCTGTTGGTCACAGTCCTGCTCAGTGTTATCCTTCCCAGGACCGTTTCTGTCAGCATTTATGAGCAATATCATGCAAACACAACTGAGGCTAGATCCTGTAACAGACARCTGCCATGTGCATCTCCTCTGCTCTTAATTGTAGGAAGATAGAGAGAAGGAAATGCTTCAGCTTTACTCGTGCAGAGTCCTACCCTCATTTTACCATTTTCTGTTGCATTCTGAGGCAGAAACGGTGGTCGTTACCATGTAAAATCCACATGGAGAGGCAAAWATCTGTTGTGAGCTACTTCTTTTGGAAAGAGACACCAGAATGTAGAGTCTGAAGGGTTGCTTCTCAGCAGCTAGAAGCTCAGGGACACTCAGTGAAATTACCAGGTAGCAGATATGCAGYGACAGTGGCATTTCCTTTCACAGTATGTGTCATTTGCATTTAAAACTGCTGTGCTGTTTATGGCTTAACATACAAACAACTTCCAAAAGCAATTAGACAAAGTAAAAAGAAAACAGGTATGGGACAGTGATCAGGATATATACTACCTTTCAGGGAGTTAGTGAACTGCAGCTTCCCTGTGTTTCTGTGGGTGACCAAACAGGACATTTCTGTATGCCACGTCTATCTGACAGCTTGGTTTATTCTGAAAATAACATTCATAACCAAAATTTAATTAAAACTTAACTACTGCTGTGACCAAAGTATTAACTTTGCTTCAAGGTGATCTGGGAGCACGGTTCAGAGAATAGTTGAGCATCATTCTGGGTGTGTGTGGAACTGCAGTGAGACTTCATAAAAATGCACTAAGATTATAAATTTTCTAACCATGAAACAGCAGTACTGCCTGCAGCCTTGATCTTGGTTGACCATTTAGTGTACCACAGATTTAATTAGATTAWTTTTTAAGAACTTTACATTCTTTGTGTTCTAAAAACATTTTAAATAGTTTATATTATATAGAGACATTTACTTCTGCTGTTTTACTGCAGCCTTAACCATTGAAAGGACAGGGGGCAATGGTTTTAAACTGAAAGAAGCACGTAAGAATGAAATTCTTTACAATGAGGGTGTTGTGRCATTGGCACAGCTTGACCAAAGAAGCTGTGGCTGCCCCATCATTGGAAATGCTCAAAGCTGGACTGGATGGGGTTTGGAGCAACCTGGTCTAGGGGAAGGTGTCCCTGCCCATGGCAGAGGGGTTGGATKGGATGATCTTTAAAACTCCTCTCCAGCCCAAAACATTCTATGAGTCTATGAAAGTTAGTGAAAATACGTGTGAAATCAGCAATACAGATCCTAAAGTTTTAGCTGTATTTGAAGTTGAAATAGGGTACAGAATTTGCATAGCAGTGGTTTATATCTCTTGATTTCAGCTGAAAGTCATCTTGCCAGTACTTGGGGATCAGGAGGGAAGGTATCAAGGGAAAGCGAACTCTTAATGTAATTTAATTTGTGGAAGATGGAGAGGCTAGGAGAAGGTAATGACTAAAAAATTAAAAAGTGAGACAAAGTTTTAAAGTACACAGCCCCTGGAGCAAAGCTCAAGGGGACTGCAATGGGTCCAGCTAGCAAAATTCTGTGGACTACACAAGTCTAGTAAAACTCATATTGAATAAGACATATRTATGAAAAATGAAGAGTTGCTTTGTATAGCAAACATGTATATAGTCTGCTTGCTGTTTGCAACCTCTTATCAAATTAAATAGTACATTGTTATAATGAAGTCTGTCTTGTGACTGTTTATCACTTTTTTTTTTCCTGTGAAGAAAAAGAAAGGCAAGAAAATTGCCTGTGCAAAGTGAGGCCTGCTGTGGTGATAACATTTTGCAGCTCATGCCCTGTCAGTGTCCACTTTCTTTGGGTGTAGCAATGGGACCCCACCCTGTCTTTCTCTGGGAAAACACAAAAAGGAAAGAGTCCTGATACTTGTGCTTGTTTGTTCACACCCACTCTGATAAAATAGTTCAAAGGGAAATGTTTAGATGATGAAAAGCTCTGCCTAGAAGTCAAAAACTTCTCAAAACTGTTACAGAGTAAAGATGATGGGTTAGTAAATTTTAAAATGATCAGAAAGTWGGTAATGTGTCAGAATATCACCATTGTGGTGGATTTCATTACATCWTCTCTATTTTTGTCCTGATCTGACTAAGAATTAAGGGCTTGTGGAGTCAGTTCAGAGATAAGGCAGACCCAGGATTAATATTGCTGCTCTTCTTCATGTTTCCTGGCTCCTGTTGATAGAAAATGTTAGAGAGGGGCTGAAAGCCTAAAAGTCAAAATTTGGAATGGATTTGTACTGTACTACTCTGAAAGTAGTACAGGATTAACAAAGRGTAATTTTCTTTCTTTATTCTGAATTTTATGACATAAAATTAAATTTTAAGATTTTTTTAAAGGCATTCCAGTATTCTGGAACTTCCATTATTAGAAAAAAACCCCAGTGCTCTTCATTAGAATTTCTATTAGAAACTGTAATTTTTGTATTTTAATTACTGGGATTACTTATTCTCAACATTTATCTTATTCTTATTTGGCAGATATATTTGAGAATATTCTTGGATGCTTATGGTACTTTTCAAACATCAAAAGGCAAATGAGAAAGCAAAGTTTTGCAAGATTTTTTTAAATACACTTGGAGTGATTTTCTAAAGAAGACTTGGGCCCAAAATCACTTTCCATATTGTGGTAATTTTCACAAAGATGCAGAAAAGTCAGGCCAAAAGGAGGGTGTGCAAAGTCAAGTGACTTTGCCAGTGTCACACCAGCATTTTGTGACAAAGGAAGGAACAAAGAACAAATGTTTGGGATCTGTTTGGTGTACATTTGACTGTGAAACTTTCTGTGAATGTTGTTTCATTATTGTGGCATGAGAGTATTTGTCAATTAATATAATCTGAAAGATTAATATAATTTTTTCTTAAAGTAAAAGTTTTCAACCTTAAAAAATATTAATTAAGCATTCAAAGACAAAACTAAGCTCAGATAATAGTGTAGCACTTCTCTGCTGCTTCTTGCTTGTTTGCAGACTTGTTTCCTTTTAATAGCTTGTGAGAGGAAGGCAGGTAATCCTGAGGATCATCACAACTCACTTTTAGGAATACTGTAATCTGTTTTCAGGGGCTGAATTAGAGAACAAACRCATTAAAATCAAAGCAAGAGCACCCAAATGCCTGTTGATGATAGGGGTTGAGGSCATGTGGATTTATTAGCAGAATAGCTGTGAAGCTAATACATTAAATTAGTGTTAACTATAGACTTTAACCTTATCACTTCTGCAGCTTTTAACTTGTGCACCTCAGTTTACTCACGGTTTGTTCTGCTTCCTCTCACAGGAATACAGGCTCTCCATGTGTAGCAAACTCTGCTATGCTATAGGAGGGGCCCCGAACCAAGTGGCAGGGAGTGCTGCTTCTTTCTTCCTGCAGATCTACCTGCTGGACATAGCCCATGTAAGTAGCACAAGAAACATTTGCAGACTGTTGGCTTAACCCTGGTATTGCCAGCCCTGTCCCTGGAATGATAAAAGGKGAATTAGCTAATAAATATTTTAAATTGTCTTGTTGTCATTGCCTTCAGCTGTCCAGCATCCTGGAAACTGCRTGAACTTGTCCAGAATTAATTTTTTCCCTCACCAGTTTCCTTTCTGTCTTGAAGTGGCTGTTGTTCGTTTTTAGGTGGGGATTGTTATCAGAACTTTGGGTGCTGTAGAGCTCACACACTTGCAGACACAAGGAAAAGCAGTTTTCAGTGTCAAGAGTMAAAGAGTGTAGGATACAAAACCTCGGAAAGCATTAATGCCTCCATGTGGAGGTTGTGAAGTTTTGTTCATTTGGTTTAGTTAAAAATCACTGCAGTTATATCCAATAGCCAACATAATTTCACACAGATTTTATTTGGTTTGTCTAAGGTGATTTTGTGGCAAAGAAAGCTGAGTTATCCTTCCTGAAGGTTCTTTGCTTGCAGTCTGTGGCTCTCTGGTGCAGAAGCAGACCTGGTGAGACAAAGCAGCAGGAGTCATCCCATTCATCTGACTTTCAGCTGCTCCAGCTAGATTTCAGGACAGCAGAGACACAAAGAAAATTAATCCATAAGCAAATTTTGCTGTTTTGGATTGTCTTTATTGCATGCACAGTAACTGTGGAATGGATAAAGTTTTAGGATAGAAAAAAGTATTTTAGGGAGTTGAGGCCAGATTGCAGGGACTGTGAGAACAGCTCTGAAATGACCTGAGGGACTTCAGCTTTGATAACTCTTCCTATTTGCTGGAAAAATCAGGAAGTTCTGGGTCAGGAATCACTACCCATTTTCTGTCTAAACATAGGATATTATGACTAGAGGTGTCCAGAAATCTGAGTTTATGGTTTTCCTATAAAAGTCTGGTGTTAAAAGCGGACTTGTGACTTACTAAATAAAATATGCAACACAGTAAAATGGGCATGTACATGGTCGTCTGGAGTGTCTTGTTGAGATGAAAGCCACAAGGTGTAGAAAAGGAGCCAGTTTTGGGCAGCAGTGTCAAAGATGTCAAGGGGATGGCGTGGAACCTGAGGAATTGGAGGTGGAAAAAGGAGCTGGGGGTACAGCAGGGAGGTAGAGCAGCTCTGAACTAAAGCTGTTGCCCTCTCACACCAAGGATGGCAACACAAGACATTGGAGATGACGAAGCAGGAAATGGATGAGACAGACCCTAACACCATTTTCCCAGGGTGTTTATAATTATGGCAATTTCCCATTCTTTGCTTATCACAGAGATTGAAAATTCTTGAAGCAAGGGGCTGTTCCTTCCTCTGTTTGTGTGCAGAAAGCTGGGGGCCCATCTCTGCACCTTTGGGCACTACCTAAATAAGTGACTTCATSATAATTATTTTATTAATAATTATTTTATTAACCAGCTTCTACAGAAACCCASTAATTTTGCTTAATGTTTGTAATGATATACTTGCACTTTCATTAAGAGGCTTAATTATTTGTTCCCCGATGGTTTAGTTTGTTCTCTGAAGTAGTCCTGCAGGGACAGGATTTATTTCAAGGCCTGATAAAAGCCTCTGAAATCCTATGTTCTTTCCCACACATTCTCAGGGGAGAGAATGTAATTTTATAGCCACTACCTGGCTTTAATTCTTGCCCATTCAGAGGGCAGAAGTGTTTTAACTTCTTGAGAGACTGTGAAACTCACTAAGTGCAATCTTTCATGGCTAATCTGGGCCCTTTCTAAGAACATTTTATTTTTATCAATTTTCTATAACTTACAGATTTTCGATTTTAATTCTATATTCCACCTAAATTACCTGTATAGAATACAGACATAAATGTAACTCCAAACCACACAGGATTCTTGAATCAAATTACTAGAGAACATCAAAATTCTCAGATGAAAGGATCCTTGTCTTTATTCTTTTTGAGATGGGTGAAGTTAGCATTTTTTATCTTGTATTTGATTAATGCTGAGAAGTTTCTGGCATTGGTACTCACAAACATTARTTAGATTTAGGAGATAAGAAAATGCAGCCAAGGAATGTGTAAGCTGGATCATACCAGCGATGAAGAGTCTACACAGACTCCACTCGTAGCATGAAAGAGATTTTGCTTTTTCCTCAAAGCTTTCTTCCACCTCTGTGTATCTAATACCCACTTCCTTTCAGTCTGTTCAGGTTATCTGAACAAAATACCAATGTGGAACTCACCTGATCTGTAGTTTTGTGTTCCTGTGTGAAGCTGCATTTTCGAGGCCTCTGGAGCACTGGTGTGATGCAGCACAAAGATGAAGGGATTTTTTCTCCTCYTSCTGTTTAAGCCACATAGACTGTTTCAGTAGCCTCTCTCAATAACTGATATGACGAACATTCATAACTGCAGTATTTCAACCCCTCTATCTTTCTGACTGCTGTTTTGTGGCTATTTTGGCTGCCCTGTCTCTTGAGGAGCAGCAGTGACCGTGGCCAGTCCTGATGCAGCCCCCAAGGCGAGTCTGCCTCAGGGCTGGTGGGCTCCTGGCTGCGGGAGGGCACAAGCCAGCAAAGGTGGATGAGGTGAAAATCAGCAAGAAGGTGGGACACAGTCCTGTGCTCATCCCAACTTCTTCCATCACACACTACTATTCCAAATCCTTCCCTGTTCACAAACTTTCCAGGGTGGACTATGTGTCTTGGAGTTGGTGGTGACAGGAACATTGGCTGCCACTGCAATTTCACCCGATTTGAGCTAAAATGTAGCTGGTGTGGTGACAGAAATCCATTGCACCTGCCTTTGGTCCTGGTCATCCAGGACTTTCAGCGGTCAGAGAACACCTACAGCAAATTCTGCAGGCAGAGGAGCTGCAGAGCTGGGAGCCTGGTGGTGCTGCCTGGGAGGCCATGTCCTGTGCAGGAAAGCAGGAGATACCTGTCCTAGCTTGGTGTTGGATCAGCTGCATTTTCCAGGCCTCTGGAGCACTGGTGTGATGCAGCACAAAGATGAAGGGATTTTTTCTCCTCTTGCTGTTTAAGCCACATAGACTGTTTCAGTAGCCTCTCTCAATRACTGATATGATGAACATTCATATTTATAGAGGTTTCAATGGCATTTTTTTTCAGGATTGTAGTTGCAATGACATGAACTGAGCACTTGGAAGAGAACCCACCTTTTTAACCATTGTGTGATGAAGTTCCTAAGCTCTGCACAGATCTATGTGATAAAATAACTGCATTGCCTGGGACAAACTGCATTTCTATAAAGGCACTAAAGTATGGTCCTCCTGAGTTCATTTCAGAGGTTTCTTTTACTGACTTTATTCTTATGTAATCCATGAGCATTTTTCGAGTGAAATGTGATGGWCACGTGCTGGCAACTTTGGTTTGAACAGATGTGCCTTACGCAATTCAGTTGTCACTGTTCAGTCCCAGGTGGATGAAGTCTGTTGTGCAACAACCTCTTCCTCAGCCACATGCCACCAGTTGGCAGCCTTGTTGCTGCACTCAGGGGAGGAGAAAACATCAGTGCATGTAAACAGCCTCCTCTACCATTTCCTAGATCAGATAAAGATATGGGGAGATGGAGATGTGTGGGGGAAAAGCAAGAGGGAAATTACAGAGGGACTGTCAGATTGTATGACTAAAGCAATGACTTTGCTATTTGGCTATCTGATGCATTTTTCTCATCCTAAACACATTCAGGATCTTTCCTTCCTTGCATTTTCCCCCTGTAATCCCTTTATTCACAGCACCTATCTCAATGTCTCATTTGTTTGCTGTGGGTAACCAATAGGAATTTCTATGGCAGCAGCAGACATGTTTTGTAAATGAACTATCATTATCCTTTAAAACTGAGTGGTTTTTTTTTTTTTTTTTTTTTTTTTTTTTTTTTTTTTTTTTTTTTTTTTTTTTTTTTTTTTCTGGAAATTTTTTTTTTTTTGTTTCATTGTGCTGTGAAACAATGGATCTTGTTTACTGTGTTCTGGCTGTACTTTCAGATTACTCCATTTCACGCCTCTTTGGTGCTGTTCATTGGCAAAGCCTCAGGTGCAGTTACYGACCCTGTTGCTGGCTTTTTTATTAGCAAAAGTAGATGGACAAAAATCGGCCGGCTCATGCCTTGGTAAGTATAAATGTGTACATGTATTTATATGTATATGTGAATATTGAGCRTTGTGATCATACAGCCACCACATTAAATTAGTCTCAGTGATTGTATCCATTCCACATATATCAAATAAAAACAAAAATTCATCATGTCATCTTTAACTTTTTCACCAATGAAAGCACGAATGTGATTTTCTACCACTGCAGAYACAGACAGTAAAGGCTGTTAAGAGACAATTAAGAGACTATATTGTTAACAAAACTGGAGGCTGACCTCTAAAACTTTCTTAAATCTGTGGTTGAATTTTCATCTTTGTCTAGATTTCTTTAGTTTCACTTCACTCTTCCACAAAGTTGCTCAGCARCCAGCACTGCCCTAGAACTGTGTTAGGTTCTTACAGCACTCATTGAGGTCCTGCTTCTCTTACATCCCATACTCAGGACAGTTAATTAAAAAAATAACCATGACTCATAAAGAGTGAGATGCTGTAAAGTTTTGATTTTTTTTTTTTTCTGAAGGAAGGGCGTGATGTTTATCTGTGACACCTTACGCTCATGCACGTGCTGTCCATGTGCTCTGAGGAGAGGTTAGAACAATCAATACTGCACCTGTAGGAAGGTGATTGACAGGTGGGAAGCAAGAAAAATTGGAAAAGATTGGTCCACGCTTGAGAAACTGAAGTTCATCTGTGTCACAGGGCATGTATTTGCTGGGTTTTTAATATTTTGGAAGTCGAGGGGAGACTGACTTCTTTGTGAAGTAGGGAGTCTTCCATCACCCTTTATCTCATACATTGTAAGGATGTATGGTAAGGTATTTTAAATTAATTATGAATTTTGAATTTATGTAACCCTCAGATTTGATTTACACCAAAAATCTAAGAGCAAATGTTGTGTCCTGAGCAAGGAAGTTGAAATTTCAGGGAAAATAAGCCCAGTTTTTTAGCTGGAGATTCTCTTGCTGTTGTGTGGTTTTAGGGCTACAGAAGTTTGTCCATGGGCAGCTTCTGTCTAACAAAATAGAGAAGGCAATGTTGGAAAAAAGGCTGAGATCAGCTCGTGGCCCAGTAAGAACAGGGCCTTAAGGCTGAAGTTTAGCTTTTTGTCAAGTCTAGTGGGAAAAGAGGAGCTTGCTGCTGTTTTTCTCCTCAGGATYTGGTTGCAGGCCAGGTAAATGGTGTAGTTTTTAATGACTACTGAATTAACCAAGTAAGAAAGCTGTTCAAAAGGACAGTAATGAGATTTTTATACAAATGCCTTTAGAAGTATGCTGATGCTTTTTTTTTTTTTTTTTAAGTTCTCTAAAAATACAAGAAGTGTGTTTATTGCTAGTTTTAAATCAATGTTAGAATGATTCCAGTCCTAGCACAAGCATGAACTTATCAGCCCTTTTCACTGTAAACCAGCTACAGCACATCTTGCACTTCTTACAGGAAGAGTGTTTATCTAACCCTGCCTTTCATCAAGCAGCTGCCTTCTTCACAGGAGAATTTTGTCTGGGTTTTTTTGGCAATGCTAATATTTTCATGGCAATTTTGTTCTTGGACTTTGAGAGTCAGGCCATTTTTATACAAAGCAAAAAATGGGGCTTCCCTAAACTTAAAAATAATGGAGCATTTTCAAATTTTTCTGACTTCTTAACAATCTAGAGTGTAGCAATGAAATTTTTTCAGTGAGGAAAGCTTGCCAGCAAAGCAAGAACATTAATAAGGGAGGTGAATGTTTAACTATCACTTAATACTGTCCTCATTATATTACACAGTCATCAATCACTTACTTAATGGCTTTAAAAGGCAGAAGGAGACATTGWCTTGAAATASTGGTTGAACATTTTGTCAAAAGGGATAATAGTAGATAATCAGATATTCAGCAACTTCAGCAAGGCTCAGAAAACCCTCTGATATTAAAGAGGCAAGGAGAATGTGGGAAGAGGATGAAATGGGGAGAACAATACTAAGAGGATTTTTTGCTAAAATGTTGTATGAAAATAAAAGTGAGTGTGAAGATATTTTGTGTGGTGACTCTGGACATCGTGTGGAAGAGCTCACCCTTGTGGAGGGGAAAGTGGRTTCCCTGAGATGTATTAGGATTTCACCCTTGTTTATGTTTTCCACTGCTGTGGGTGAGCTGTGGGCTGGGGACCGGAGGGACAGAGAATACCAGAACCTGGCACTTTCCTGGTAAATGTTTAGCTCCCAGGGGTGCTGTCCATCCCAAAGAGCAGTGTGGGAAAGCCATTGTTTTACTAAACTATTTACCCACATTACCCTTTTGTATTCCAGGTTTTCARTTCACGATTGCAAAGTAATCAGCTGACCCCCAATGTCAGTAGTGCTGTTGTGAAGGGATTAATCTGTTTTCTCTTTTATGTGTTTGGAAATTTTTTGTTAGGATCTTGGTCATCTAAATACATTGTTCAATGCCTGATTTACAAGAATACAGGGCTGCCCTGATGCTGCTGCAGCTCAGACTTTCRGGAAATACTAGCATCTGACCAGTTCTGTATCATGAAGTTTGACAAGTGCTATTTGCCTGAAAAAAGAAAAAAAAAAAGAGTTTTAGACTAATGTTATCAATTGCTGCTTAATGGCAAGGTCTGGAGTATAAGTTTCTGTGATTCTTTTTTTTTAAGCCATCTGACTCTTGAGAAGGTGATCCTTTTGTGTTTGAAGTGATTAGGAGTTAAATGGAGGATATTATCACATTCCCAACTAGATACAGAGTGTGAGAGCTTGCAGAATGGWCTGTCTGTTGTCTCTTAGGCTTTTTACGATATTTTTCACTGTGTCAACATATTTGCACTTGCTTGAAGTAGCAGGGAAGAGACTAAGTTCAGGGGAAAACCAAAGGCACTGAAATTGGAAGAGGGAATCCTGGTAATAAGTAAGCGCATGTAAAAATTGCTGCAGTATGCAAAGACATGATGACAGAGCTCAGTTTTCAGTGATTCTTTCTAGAAAATGTGTAATCTGAGACATGTGCAAAGGAATGGCAATATAGGTGTGCTCTTACAGTGCATGTGCAAGGAAATTGTGTCTCTTCTGAGTGGGATATTAATTTAAGTGTAGCTCTTTCAGAATTGCTGGGGGTTTTCAATTTTATGGTAGTATTAATCTATGTATTTATATATTTTATATAAATATTAATATATTTTCTATTAATCTGTGTATTTAATGCACACTGACTTTTGTTACTTAAAAGCAYGACATTACTGAACTTAGGAAAACTGGACATAAAATAAATTACAATGATTATTAGTAGGAAAATTGAATGTGCTTTGCTATCATTGTGCTGAGAWTGCTGATATGTGTTAATCCTCTTTTCAGGGTGCTGGCATGCACACCCTTCACGATAGTGTCCTATTTTTTTATGTGGTACCTGCCTCCATTTGCATCAGGAAGAGTTGCTTGGTACCTGACTTTCCACTGCCTTTTCCAAGCACTGACCACAGTAAGTAGATTATAGGTCACAATGGTCTCAGCAGTTGAGAAAGCAGCTTGCTTTCTCTCTATATTGATGCATTCATATTAAGTTAAGTTGTTTTCACATTTTATTCAACTTCTAGTGACTTTAAGGGGCAGGCAGATGTCCTTTTCTCAAACTCTCTGCTGGTTGATGGTTTCTGCCAGTGCTTTCTTTGGCAAATGAGCTGCTAATTCAGCCAGGTTACCTCCAGTGCCCTCAGCTCATTCTCATATGGATGTTCAGAGTCCTAATTCCAGTAAGACATTCAACTTCTCATAATTTCTGTTTTCAGGAGCTGATTAGGACTCCTGTATTCCTGTGTTAAGCTTGAATATTTCCCTAGATCCTTTGTTTCCCCAGTAGAAATACGGTTCAGAAGACATCCGTTATGGTTTTGAGTAATTTCTTCCCTCTTTCTTTTGAAAGAGAAACAAGGCAGAGTTTTGCAAACGTACACACTTGCTGTGTTTGATGCTGATGAACAGAAATGCATTTTATACAAACAGAGTAGGATGCAGATTGCAGGATTTAGTTTGGCTACAGATTTCTGGGGTGGTGGGAACACCACAGAGAATTTGGTTCTTCAAGAAGGTTCATGTCTCCATTCCACTTTGCAACAGTCTGAGAGTTTGGCCTCTATATCATTCCAGGATTTTAGAAATTATTTTTATTTTAGTTCAACATTATGAGGACAGGATCCCACCCACATACTGACCAAGGTCAAGCCTTTAATGTTGAGTAGTTATTTTCAATGAAGTACTACTGGAGATGAGGCTTCTCCTGCAGTAAAAATAGGGCTCCTTTACCCAGCATTGCAATAAATATTGCCAGTGCATTGTTTCCACCAGATACAGATACAGGACTATAAAAATAATAAAACAGCACTCCTCATCCACCTTTTTGTCAGTGCATGAACACAGCAATTGGGTGGTTTTACCTATCCTTAACTGAAGGAGTGAGTGGCAAAATGGTGCTTGAAGACATAGTAGCCTTCACTATTTTCTCTTGGACTTACATAATTAGATATTTTAAATAGTTTGGGTATKGTGTAGTCTTCTGGCTTGAATAAARTGGAAAACTGTATTTCTTCTTTATGGCTTTGCTTCCTGTTAGTTAGCTCAAGCTAGGACCACAATAGGGTCMTACTGCAAGGAAAGCTAAATTCTTTAGAGTCAGTCTGTGGAGGATGTTTTCCCAGGAAACTCAAGGAGCACAACATCAAGGTAAACCTCTTGGTATTTTATTATTTATTATTTCTGGAAGATACTGTTTTCCTTTTATTTTGGTTTGCTTTGCAAACCAGAGAGAAAAGGCAGGTCTTTGTGCTAAAAAATTGGTTGGCAGTTCTCAATGTTCTGAATGTATGTTCTAAATTAATCCTGAGGTCCCATTAAACCATTTTCTTGGATATCRAAGGAATACAGCAGTTTTACCCTGACATTTCCTAAGACATATTCTTTCTTTCCCCAGTTATTCCAAGTACCATACTCTGCTCTCACTATGTTTCTCAGCACGGACCAGAAGGACAGAGATTCTGCAACAGCATATCGTGAGTGTGGTCTGGGTTTTCTCCTTGGAAATTAGGGCTGAGTTTTATTGAAAATCATTCTTAATCTATAGGAAGTTCTAATGATTTGTGCCCCTAAACTGGACTTTTATAAGAATGTTTTAATATGTGATGAAAACTAATTTGTCTTCCAAGGGATTGCATTTTTCTAGCTAAATAGGAGATGTTAATATTTCATTGTCTCAAATTGTCTGATTAGCTATAAACTCTTTTTGGTTTATTACTAGCCAGAGGGAACAATAAAAATCACTCTTAACTAAGTCAGGGTAAGGAATAACAATTCCATTTAAAGGTGATTTGTAGGGGAAAAACCAAGACACATTCAATTGAAGAAAATACAAAGTAATTTTGAGTTTGTTGTTTTGTTGCCTTCTTTTTTTATAGTTCATATTTCCTTAGGTTTATGTGTTTCATGTTATAAATTCAAATCCCAAATCTGTTTTCTCAGACAAAAACTTTGAGGACTCATAGAGTCAAGACCATTAACTTCACCAAAAAGGAGAATAATTTTGTGTGCATGTTCACACCAACTGAAATCTCTTTTTTCATTTCACCTCTGTTTATTTAATTAATTCTGATGTACACCAGGTAGTTTAAGGGCAGATTTTGTTGTAACGTTACTAGCACTCTGACTGTATTAGTTAAAATACTGAGGCTTTACAGACCAGATCTCTGGCTGTTCAGCAATCAAAACCAGGCAAACTTTTTGCTTTGAAGCAAATCAATCAGACCAAAATAAGTACAGTGAAAATATTTTCAAGATTTCCTGKATAGATCATAAATTGAATGTAAGAACAGTTTCCTCCCCTCCTGCTCTCTTTAGCTCTGTTCTCATGTGTTCTTTACTGTGTATCTGCATTAAGCAAGGTAAAGAGAAAAAAGCCAAATATTACTTGGAAGGCTTTTCTATGCCTTAACTTGTCCTTCAGTGTTGCTTTAGAATAACTTGTAGGTWTTTTTGTTGAATCTCTTTTCTCTTCCTGGCAAGATTCCTTTTCTCTTCCATTAGTCCTTCTAACCCTCAACACACTTGRTTATATTGAAATCCGCAGAGGCACAGTGGAATAGCCAGAAGTGATAAAAATGTAATGTCAAAAATTCTAGATACAATATCCCCTGAGCAACCCAATCCCTTTCCAGACACATGGAACAGTTGTAATCTGCATTATCATCAACTATCTTTTAAGAAAAAGTGTGGGCTGGCAGTCACAGGACAGGACTAAACAGCAGGAGGTTCCAGTTGTGTTATATTCTTTGGCAGTGACTGTATTCTGAGTCATCTGGCCTAAATTCTGACTAAAGCCATGTACCTAGTGTTTTCTATTGTCTGGTTTTATGTCTTCAGAGGCTGTGATCCAAATAAATGTGCTTTCTGATCTGCTAGTCCCATGCAAGGCTTCATAGGCAAGTGAAATCTGTGCTTGTAAAAGCTGTTGAACTCTGTGGCTGAGAGGTGTCACACATTTATAGTGTCATTTTATTGTTCAGAAAGGCTTGAACTTTTGAGTGTACAGCTGTTCTCCTAAACCAAATTAAGGTGGTGGAATGAGCCATAGCTTTGACTCTTCAAATGTTGGTATTTTTGCATATGCTGAAATAATATTTGTTTGGAGCAAAGTTTTCTTGTAATGGTTATGATTATGTGAGATTGTTGGTGGGGTTTTTTTTTTTTTTTTGGCAAGTGTTTTACTTAAACACTTTTGCCTCTCTTTGGGTTTTATAGAGAATTCTTCCTGTTGATGGACTGTCTTGGATGCAGTCAGTTGTTCAGGCATTTCTTCAAGAGTTAAAGAAAAACAGCTGTGTAATATGAAGTGTGCTCTTAAAAATGAGGTTGGGATCAGAGGATCCATTACCCTCTGCTGGAGACAAGCAGAACTGCTTATTAGAAATTTCATTCTGCTATGAATGCAAGGTAGAAATACTGGATTCCRAAATTGCTTTAACATAAATCCTACTTACATTCTGGCCAAAATATAACCTCCTTCAAGGTACAATCTGCTGGCAGATCAGCTTTCTCAGCTGATGTGGAAAGTAATACATCATAAATTCTGAGCACATAAGAGCTTTGAAGGATACCTTTTCCTCAGCTCTTGCTACTCCTTAGGAAATAAAGTTTCACAGTGKTTGCATTTCTGGTGCCTCTAATGATGCTTCTGAGTTTTATTCTATAGCAGTGATTGATAAAATGCAGATGCAGAGCCCCAGACAAAGGCTGTGAGTGTGTATGTGGTGTTTGGAAGGAAAGGTGTGATCTGAGTGCATTGCCTTTGAGCTGAGTTTGGATGCTCAGCAGCTCCCAACTGAGGCCAGTTCATGCCCAAACACTTCAGACCAGATTTGGGTTAGATTTCCACCATCTGCCAGGATTTTTGTTATATGGACTGAATTTCAACATCACTAGAGAGATTGAACATGAAGTTTGGGGGAGGAGCTTTTTTTACTTCCCATTAGTTTAAATTAATGTTCCCTGGCACCTCAAATTTTCCACTCAGAAGCATTCTCAGTTTGGGAACAAAGTACAAAGGTTTAAATGGTCCAAATCTCCTAGGGAGCCTCTCTTCCCTTTTCCTTCCTGGATCTTGCATGGCTGCACACAGCCTGCATCACTGCCCTGTCTGAACCCCTCACAACCTGTGTGCCCTCCCTTTAGATGGTGAAGTATTTTGATTCCTTTACAGGGACACACAAAAAGCCATGTGTAGTGTCTGAGGTCACCTAGGAAGGCTGTTACAGGTCAGGAAACTTGAATAAACATRAACCTAGGAGCTTTTGAAAGGCTGTCACTTCCTGGAGAGTCTATGATAACCACCAGGACACCACCTGCTCTGGAAGCAGCCCTTCAGAATCCCCCGTGGTGCTTCTGAGAAAGGAACATGGAACCCTGGGAGCCACTGAGAGAGAAAAAATAGAAAAAAAGCCTGAAGTTTGGGTCAATGAGAAGACCATTCCCTCATGAATGGGGAGACATGGTCCCAGCTCCTTATCTGTGCATGCATTCAGCCCTGTCTATTGTTATGCAAAATGTGTAGAGTCTTTGGAGCTGGGACAGGAATAACGTTTATCTCCCAGCCATGGGGGTGCTGGGTATGGCCACATTTCAGGGAAACAGGCATGGTGGGCTTGAAATCCCTCAGGGTGAGGAAGGTCTATAACCCAAATTTCTCACCGTTCTCAACAGAGCTGCAGCACCTGGTCAGGTTATTGATCGATTTCATGAGATGATGCCCGTGWATAGATTTTTGCTTTCCTAACTGGAGGCTTTGGTTGTTTTTTAAGATGATCCCTTTTTCTGGTGATAGTTAGTGACCTGATTAATTCTCTGAGGTTGAGGTGGATCGTTCTACCTGACTCTGGCCTTAGGCAATTAAGAACAGCACYTGCTGTTTCCAAGAGCTTTGTAGATGTACTACTTCCATAAACCTGAGGTAAATATCACCTTATTTTACAGGTGGAGGACTCAGAGGTCTGATTAGATAAATGTTTCACAAGTTACTGTCAAGTTTTAGATGAACTGGTGTCATGACTCCAAGTTCTGCTTTGGAAAAAATGGCMTTTAACACATAGTTCTACTCTGGTCCTGGAGATGAAAGGTCTCCACATTATCCCCTTGTAGTTCTTAATCTCAGCATTCATCTTCTCTCATGCAGCTTGTATGGAAAAGGCTCTTCCAAGGATGCTTCTTCTCAAAGCTGGTCAGAAAATAAATTACAAAACTGTCTTTCCTTGAAACAGTTCTGTTGCTGACCTTCCAGTTCTGCTGTTCTTGGCATTGCTCATTCCTGTAAAAGGAAATGGTTTGSTGAGGTTTCTCTTCAGTCAGACAGGTGAGCAAGATTCTTATCCTTACTGCATATTTCCTTTTTTTTCAGGCATGACCATGGAAGTGCTTGGGACCTTGATTGGAGCTTCACTTCAGGGACAGATTGTGGCCAGTGCTCATGTCTCTCCCCACTGCACTGTGAATCCCTCAGCAAACACCACTGACTCCTGGCATGACACTTCCAGCATCCCAGACCCCGCAGATCCCCTGTCTCATCAAGTGAGTGTCTGTGGGATCACACTGAAATACATAAAATATGTAGAAGGATGGAATGTTTCTCTAATACCGTGTCATGTCCAGCTGGATGAGGATGAACACAACTTCCCTGAAATCAGTGGTGCTGGAGCTGACACAATGACCTTATTGCAAACAATGCTTTCCAATTTTGCTGTCTTTTCAGCCTCTCCTCAGTGTGACAGCAGAATTTCTCTGAGGAGCTTTGCAGGAGGTGCCAAACCTGTAAAGTAGCTGAGAGGGACATGGCCAACTTTGTTTTCACTGGGGGCTGATTTACAGTTTACAGTAGCTTAGTAAGAAAAGCACAGTTTACCCCTCCAGAAATACTCCAGAAATACAATTCTGGGGTCCCCAGTGCAAGATATGGAYCTGTTAGAGCAGAGCTGGAGGAGGGTCACACAGATGGTCAGAAGGTTGGAATACCTCTCCTGTGAATACAGACTGAGAGAGCCAGATTTGTTCAGTCTGGAGGAAAGAAGGCTCCAGGAGCCCTTWTTGCAGCCTTTCAGTACAAAAAGGGGGCTTTTGGGAAAGATGGAAGAAACTTTTAACCAAGGCTTGTAGTGACAGGACAAGGAGGAATGATTTTAAACCAAAAGAGGGTAGATTTAGATTAGATATGAGGAAGACTTTTTTTTTTTTTTTTTTTTTTTACCAGAGTGGCTGTTACTGGAGGTAGGTACTAGAACAGGTTGCCCAGATGTGGCTGCCCCATCCCTGGAAGTGTCCAAGGCCAGGCTGGATGGGGCTCTGAGCAACCTGGGATAGTGGAAGGTGTCCCTGCCCATGGCAGGAAGTTGGAATAAGATGATCTTTGAAAGTCCCACCCAACCCAGCCCAACCTAACCCAACCCAACCTATTCGGTGATTCTATGAAAAAACGGTGTCTGTAGCCGGAGCTTTCAGTTCAACAACACTCATTTCCAAAGGAGGTACCACTGGAGATCTCCCGTACAGATTAATGGCAATTTCATGAATGCAACCCTAAGTCCTATTTGGAATCTGTACTTTTGTGAAGGTACCAACCACTGCTGTAAATGCTTGGTAACAGGCAATTAGTGGGGACAGATCTCAGTGTTTAACTTGTGGAATAAACCTAGGGATCCATGCTTGTTTATTTGATTTTCCATGGCAGACTTTTCCTGTAATTTTGCACAAATAGTGTAATCTCCTCAAACTTGAGTTTTCTATTTTTGAGGAACAAAGAAGGTTTTATATCTGGAAGAAAAACCTAAAACCTGATCCAAACCTCAGTTAATACAATTTGATAGTCTTYCATTGTTTCCAGTGGTCTTGAAACAAGTCCTGAATCAAACAATGACCTCTTGTAGTGTTTTTTTCCTATGTTACTTGTGGAATCAGCAGATTGTTGGTCCCAATTTATCAACTGCTAGATTCATCCTTCCTTTTTATATTTTCATCCATTGCTCTGTGAGTGCAARTACCAACCAATATATAAAAYACCCCATGAAGAAGATTCCTTGACYTGAATCTAATCTCAAATGCTTGATGCAAAAGAGGAAATATGTATTTGTGCTCTTCCTAATGTAGTTGAATAGCTCCTATTATCACACTTCAGCAGCAGTAAAATCACAAGCTAAAGGCACATTTTTTATATGTTTTTGAATTTACATTCTCTGRCATCAGCACTGGTGGTCCAGGAAGGGAACCAACTCTTGTCCCCCTCTGTTCCCAGACACTGTTCTTTGCCTCTGTGCCACCTGATCCTTGGTRTTTTGGGACAGGCTTCTCACAGAGCTGATCTGAGCAAATATCTGGGGAGAGCTGGGCTGCTTCTCTAGATGGCCGTGCCATTTTATGGCTGATTAATGTGTTTTGGAGGATGCTTATTTGGTAAGTGTAACTTCTAGTTGTATGTTTTAACAAGACACCAAATGTCATCCTGTCTTCCTTTTTAGCTTATGGGACAATGGCTTGATGTAGGACACTACTGTGTTTATTACACCTCCATCAATTGTTTAGAGGAGTAGCTTGAAAAGCAATGGAGCAAGCTGAATTTCATGGCACAGCATTCCCTGTCTGAATCTGCTTCAGACTAAAATCCCCAATCTCTATTTTGAAATCTCTGAAACAGCTTTCAAGGAAAAAAAAACTCACAATCTTAATTTATTTCCTTTCAGTGTAACCACATGTGCTTTCCTGACCTTTCTGAGGTAGGAAGGAGATGGAGAAAGAAACGTCACAATCAGTTGAATATCAGTTTTCATTTTGAAAAACTTGCAAAGATCCATAGCCTAAAGAAGCCAGAGTTTGTAGAAGTTTTATCTTTCATTAAAATAGATAGTAAAACTGGGAAATGATGGGAAAGCTTTTAGATCCAAACATTTTTCAGATCTTCAGATGTGAAGAAGTCACAGTGTGACTGGAAAYCTGCCCTTTGCTCATGCCACACATGGCAGAATTGGCACCTGATTAATTGCAGGATCAACAGGAGATGTTGGATCTTGAATTTTGGTTGTGTGACTGATGGGCATTGAGTTACAAGTTGAGGCAAGACTAGATTATCATGAACTCGAAGTTATTCCATCAGGAAATATTTAGAAGAGGGCAACTCTTGACTTTCTTTTAATGCTGTTCAGAAGTGTGACCCTGACCCTTTTTGTCAAAAGGACTAATTCTTAGCTGCTCAAGAGCACATCTAGTTTTAAAAAGCACTTAATGAATGASTGATATTATTTTGCTCCTTATTAAAAAAAATAAGTGGAAGAAATGATTGTTTTAAAGCTCCCCTGAAGTTGTTACTATAAGCTTGTGAATGGATCTTTATTACTGGAAACCAAACATGGATATTGATAGAGTTGTAGGTGGGCTGACAAGTTTTGCTYAGGGTTAGAGAATCATATTTGGCCTACTATGAATATCCTTGGTAGTTTAAATTACACTTAATGATGATGGCCTGTAAAACACAACATTTAATTCAAATGCTTCAAGCAAATTAACAAATACAAAAAAACAAAGTATAAAGTTCATGGAGAAATCCTGTTACTATCCTTTCTTTTTCCCAGCCCCTTCTGTCCTGGCTAGGCTGCATTTCAGGCTGAAATTGCCTTGTTTAGTGAACTCAGGTATCTCCAGTGTTGCTCTCTGTAGCCGTGCAAGCCATAACCAACAGTGTGAAAGAGTTCTGTGACTTAATTTACAGCTCTGATATTAAAAAAGCCCCAAATCTTTATTCCATATAAAGAATAGTCCTGCATTCCTTTATTTCACCATGTTATTTTCTGAAATGCAAATATCTTAACGAGAACAGTTTTCTTGAAAATTGTCTATTCTTACATCACCTGAGTACATTTGCACCTCTAGTAAGTGACTTTATTTTTGAAAGTGTATTCTAGTAATTGCATGTTTTTTTACCAACTTCTTAGATTTATAATAATTTCATCTAGAATAAATAACCAATAATTTGGAAAACAGTTATCCTATCAAATAAGCATTGTGCCATARAGCTCTATAAACAGCACTTGCTTTATCTTGGATAACACAGTATAAAATAAATTTTTACATCATTTTAAAGCAAATAGTTTTAAAGCTTTAATCCAAAGTTGTAGTAATTAGAGTTAGAAACAGTAAATGTGATCTGGTGGAGTGTGAGGTGTCCTTGGAGGCTTTGATCCCCTGKCTAAAAGAAAGCAAAGATTTCTGAATTTGCTTGAATATTTCACTAAGTAACTGGGGAAACCAGCAGGCAAGCTACCATATTCTCAAAACATTGACATGTAAGTATGAATGCTAAAATTAATTATATATTAATTATTATAATCTTGTATAAATGGAGAAACTGCAGTAATTATGTTTACATCAGTACTGAGAGTACYCATCCACCATGAAGTTCCAGATTGCAGTCTGTGTAGCAAGATCAACTGGACYTACTGAAAATGAGATTCCCTCTTGRATGATGCATGGTTTTGATTAGGTGACTGTGTATGTCTGTTGTTAGTTTCAATATAAGCAAATTTTTAAAACATTCAGGTTGACAACACAAGTAACCCTTCAGTTCATTGCGTCTTTTTTTTTTTTTTTTAAGAAGTATATACTTATGTGCCCTGAATTTGTCCTAAGGGAGGTGTTGTTTATAAATGAACTGCAGATTTTAACATTTTTCAGAGAAGTGGCAGACAGGCAGTTGCCTCTATGCAGATGGGTATTTCTTTAGTTGCAGGTGACTCACCAAGAAAAGACTGAATTTTCATAATGACTTGTCATTCTCACAATTTAATGTCACAATTTCAAAWGTACTTTTTTTCTTCTTTCCAAAGGCAAAAGTTTACATGATTGCAGCAGGGGTCATAGTGGGTGTGTATCTTCTTGGGATTGTCGTTCTTTTTCTTGGAGTAAAGGAAAGGGATGGTAAGTTATATGTAAATACCCCTCAATTTAATAATGGTTATTTCACATTCATTTATTGAAAAGATTTTGATTTTATGTATTCTGCTCCTCTTAGATCCTTATGCCTTAAATTCAGACAGAGCAATTCCTTTCTGTAAGGGGCTCGCACTCACCATGAAGCACGGTCCATATGTGAAGCTTACAGCTTCATTTCTTCTCATCTCGACAGCAGTTCAGGTAACTGCAGACCCCCAGTCTGTGTGYTGGCCTCATTCCACTCCCAGCACGAGGGGAGAGTCTGAAATGCAAATGACCTTTGGCTGGTGACTGGAGGGGTGATCTAGGGGGTGTTACCTTGCCCTGTAAATCAGTAGGGAGCCAGATTCCTCTTCTGGTGCCTKGGATCCTGTGTGGCTGGAGATGGTTCTTAAAAAGGATCATTTRAAGCCAAAGTCCTGACCATTTAAAGACTTTTTCTCTTTTCTTTTTTCTTTTTTTTTCTTTAAAAGGTGAAGAACTAATCCCAGTGACCGAGACTSGGTCATTCTGTGTTATCCATCCACAGTCTCCTGTGGCTTCAGTTGCTTAGAGAATGCTTTTTCTYTTCTCTCTGTTCCTCTCTATGTGTGCCCTGCTTTAAACCATTGCCCCTTTTCTTTTTACATAGGTGGCCGCTCTCAGATAGGGGCTGAACTGGGTCTTGTGGAGTCTTTTGTGATGGAAGGCATTAGGTCAGAGTGAGAAGACATTCAGAGGCAGGAGGTGTCACCTGTGTCAGARTTAGGAAGAGCTCATTTTCAAATGAGGAGCTGCAATTGGATGTGGCTCTCACGGAAAGAGGCGGTGCATCCTCCCAGAGAGAGGAGCTGTAGAAAAGCCACTCAGTAAGAAATCCTCCCCATAAGTACAGCAGACTTTTCAAGCTTGTTTTTTAAGCTTTGTTCAACTCAGTAAATAAGGTATTTTGRTGTGAACTTGTACATACCATTGGAAGTTTGCTTTATTTTGAAGAACAAGTAATTTTCACATTTTTTTTGCCAACAGACTCTAAGTCACATGAGCCATTGATCAAGTGAGTATCAGAACAGAAAGCAAGAGCATGACATAAGAGAGCAGTGTTGTGTTCACCAGCAGTCCTGGTGAATTAGCAAGTTCTTTGGAAAGGCTGCKTAAAAGTTTGTTTGCCAAAGAAGCACTGAGCTTTTTTGTTGGCCTGGATTTGGGCACAGCATCTGTTAGTCCTTGCTGGGTGAGAAACTATATGCGAAGTTATTTTTGCTCACCTCTGGGATGAGGTGCGATGAGCAACAGCAGAGACAGGGTGAAGATGAAAGAAGAAAGGTCCCTTGCTGTCCATATCCTTCCAGCATGCTCTCAGGGAGCAGGGATACTGAGCACATCTGGTTGCTGGCAAGCAACCACTTACTGACAGCACCAGGAGAGGAAAAGACCTTCTGTCAGTCCCTGTATCTTTATTTTTCTATTTGTGTAGGCTGAAGGGAAGGTGTGAGGGGAGGCAKAAGCTGGAAGCTGTGTTGCTTCAGCTCAGCCAGGATAAGCAGCCTTCACTGCTGTTATTTGAGGGAGAGGCACTGATTTTCTGGAACTTAGAGCAGGGTTTACTGATCAGCAAAAGGAATGGGCAGGTAAAGATGTKTTGGCCATAATTCCAGAGTGTGATGTCCAATGTCTAAAATCAAGGCAGCAAAAATAGGGACACAAACTACGGGAGGCTTTTGTGGCAATGGGGATGGGATACAACTTTTTGGATATCCTAATTTGTATAGAGATGACCTGCCATCTGTAATCCACAAGCTCATAAAGRAGCAAGAGTTGATTTTGTTGCCGTGGCATGAGTATTGAATCTTCCTCTGTCACTCCACTTCTGCAGATTTGCTGGAGCTRTCCCTGGCCCTCCATCACATTCTGGTGTTCAGAAACTGCCCAAGTTCTGCAGTAGCATGGTGGTGGCAGTGGCTTCACCTGTCACATAACACAGTGCAGTTAGATCCTACCATCTGATGAGGATTCAGACTTGAGATGTCTGACCCAAAATCACACTCTGTAGCTGAAGTTGCATACAGAACCAGCTGCTTTACCACGGGAAGTTGGCAGGAGTGTTATTGCAGCTGAAAAGTTACTTATTTTGGAGTCAGAGCTTCTGGAGAAAGATTTATGGCCTTGCTGTGGAAAAGAAAGGGCAGCTTCTTGCAGTAGCCTGCAGCTGTGACAACACAAGGCAATTGGGAATAGGGAATAAAGCCTTGAGACRGAATCCTTTCAGAGGGCAATTTGTGTTTTGGTCACTTATGCTCTGTTAGGTTTGGTCTCACCTCTTGCTTGTCCCAGTATTATTGGCATGTTATCATTGATAACAGGACAGTTATTGCTTCTTTAGGTTGTTGCAAACAAGGCAAGAATGAGACTCCCAAATCCTGCACTTAACACATCAGTCACCAAGTATATTTAACTAATATGGAGTGTGATGTAACTTTTGTCTTTTTTTTTAATTTTCCTCTCTCTTTTGGTGGTCACCAAATGTCTTCAATCCAACAGCTGGAGCAGGGCAACTTTGTCCTGTTCTGCACTCACGCTGCCGGCCTCCGCAATCACTTCCAATATTTGGTGGTGACCATCTTGGTGAGTGGCACTTCTCTCCCAAATATTACCTGGTTCTCATTAGGATTTGGCACAAAATAACAGAAGACAAATAGAGTTTTGTGTCTCAGCAGAGGTTTTAGAAAGCTACACTATATTTTGCATTGTCTGTGTGAATTAAAGCTTGTGTTCCCTACTGCACTTCTGAAAGAATTGTGGTTTGGAGTTTTTAATTCATTCCTGGTTATTTTCACCTGTAAGCAATCTTCTGCTCCTATAAAGGGCAAAAGCTGCTTCTAGAAATGAGCTCTGGAATTTTACCTGCTTTTTCCCTTTTCCCAATGTTATGAGCTGAATATGAAATAACTTTATTTTGCATATTCATACACACAAGTCTTCTGGGCTACCCAGCTTGCAAGGATAAATATTTAAAATATCCAGAAATATGAAGATTCCTCTCTAGAGCAGTTGGCAGTGTGATGAAAAGATCCTTTCACAGAACCTTTTTCATTGACATACAGAGGTAGAGTTCTGCTTGCTTAGGTGATACTTACCCTTTCCCATATTWTGAGACATATTATTTTCCAAATCCACTAAAACCAAGATGTTGGAGAGTATCTCCAACATGTTGGGTATCTTAAGGCTCTGCAAGTGATGGTCACCAAGAAGAGACACAAGAAACAGTGGAGTTAAAGTAAGTAGAGAATGAAATATAACAGTAACAATTAAATGACATTTAAATAAAGGTGAAATGTAAGACTGCCTCTGGTGGCAGTACTTCAGTGCATTGGTACTATGCTGCTTGGTGAGTATTTCAGTGAAATATGAAACAGTAATGACAACTGCAAGCAACCATTTCTGTTACAGATTGTTCCTAAGAAGGGACACATAGTACGGAATACGGACTCTAAGTATATCTTAGGATAAGTTTATCTTGCACTTCAGCTTTCTTCCTGTGCCATGGGGTAGAGCTAAATTCACTCATCATTTGTCAGGTTCACGCAGTGTAGCAAAAGGCATTAGCACAAAGTGTGAATATTTGCAGTATGCTTGAACTTCACTGACTGAGCACAGCGTTAACTGCTGGGGCTCACATTAGAAAAGGAAATTTTAATATGCTGTCTTCTGATATTTATTTGTGGAAAACCCTTTCATGGATAGCTTCATATTTTAAAATTGAATTTTAAAAAGTCACTCAAAGGATGAGGAGAAACAGGAATCTGCATGTTCACCTTCCTTTCAGGYCTTTATGTACTAGACAAAAAGATATCTGTGAAGTCTACAGCAGAAGACAGTGGCAGTAAGCATAGTACAGATATGGGGTTTTTGTCTCTTATAGGTATCAGCAGCCGTGAGCGTTCCCTTCTGGCAGAAGTTTCTGCAGAGATTTGGCAAGAAGTGTGCAGCATGTGGGATTTCGGTAAGCAAAGCCACTGAGAAAAAAAAAAAAAAACAAAGCCACTGAGAAAAAAAAAAAAAAAAAAAAGTGCTTGTGCTCATTTCATTTGACAATTGGAGCCACTTCAGGAGCTCTTTCAATCGCTTATAACTTCAATCTATGTGAAATTTGCTCGGTTTCAGAGTTTGTTTTAAATCATTATACCAAATTTCAGACACATTCTGAGTTTCCAAGGGAAACTTTTGAGAAATGGATTGATGCTGGAGGGAGGTCCCAGTTTATTTAAGAATCTGCACAAGCTGTCCTCATTTGACTGCTCTCAGAAATGAGCCTCAGTGAGGTTTTATAAATTCAGATTTGAGTTGCCTCATTTTGACAAGTTATCTGCTGTTCAAGTCTTACTTTGTGTATAGTGCTGAAGTAATTCAGTCCCATGGAAGGAAACAAAACCCTGTTAYACATCCCCCTCTGGGAGCACCCACATCCCTCTGAACAGGAGGCACAGTTATTAGTGAAGTAAAGAAAAAGGTGACCTACCTGAGAAAAGGAGCCCAGTTTAACTCTGACACAGCTCTGCAAAGCCAGCTCAGCGAGCCTGCCCTTGTCACTGATGGATTATTTTAAGTCCCTTACTTAGTGCAGACAGCAGCAATTTTCTGTCATCATCCTCGGTGAGTTATTGTATAGGCCAGTTCCTCCCCATTTTCCCCCTGTTTACCTTCAATTACTTATGAAAGAGGAAAGAAAAATTGCCTTGTGCACAACAAAGCAGGAGGATTTGAAAAATCCAGCCCAGAGCTATATGTCAAAATCAGAACAAAGCTGAAAAATTTAGGTCTGGTGACAGTTATTGAATAGAATTGAACAGTTATAATTTTTGGAATTAAAAGCTGTGTTGGAATGACTTCCAAAKAATCAGAAGTAATTTTCAAACCCAAGTTCCAAATATGCTGAATTGTTATATGTTTTGAAGCATCTGGAGTCCAAGCCCCATCCTTGGTTCTTTTTACCACTTGAGTAAAGAGTATTGCCAAAAGCAGTATTGGACCATTGACTAGACCTGGGAATGCAGATTTCCTCCTTAGGAAATCTCCTCCTCTGTCTACTTGGACACACAAAAATGCTTTCTTCAACCAACTTGGCTCTATAAATTTAGTTTTACATGACTGGAAAGCCTGTCAGCACCTCTGTAAACATGGTTTAACTTAATTTTACAGTTGAGTTGCTTGACTGTTATGGTCTAAGTAGGGGGGGGATTGAAAAAAAGCCACCTCTCTGTTTCACCTTACAGACATTTCTCAAGGGACTCAGTGTGTGCTCAGTGATGGATTTTGTGTCTGACAGTGCATCACGGAGCTTCCTATCCTACCACCTTGTGTGATCTGTACAGCTAATCTGTACTCTCCCACTGTGAAATAAAAGCACATCGTTTAAGGCTCCTAACTTTGTCATTGGGGAATGTTCTACTGGAAGGGAAGGAGACAGGAGAGAACAATTTTTATTTTTTTTTTTTTTTAACTTCACTCAGCTTTCAGGGTGATCATGAGATTGGAAATTCAGTTTCCTGAAAAAAAAAAAAAAAAAGTCTCAGTGCTCCAGACTGATTTTTCCTGTTAAGATGATTCTATTTTGAAGAGACCCCTCAAGGAGGTTAGAAGTCGGTAGATTAGCAACAAGAATCTTGGTTTTCTTCCACTGATGTTTCTCCCTTTTTCCTCCACAAGAAGTGGCCAACAAGTCTAACTACCTATTATGTATCCAAAGTTCCTAGAAGTTTGAACCCTAGACTTTCTGGAATTACCAGGAATTATCCTGCTCCCAAGCAGGATGCTTAATACCATTCTTCCCACGACCAGGTTGGTGCACAGGCTAGAAATTACTCTCTTCTGTTTATTTCCTTCATCTTTCAAGTGCTGTGTTCATTTTGGTGTCTGCTCTGCCCTCACGGGGCAAACACTGAAATCACACTCAGTAACTCTCAGCTGGTGGCTGGAGGTGAAGTTGTCACGGGAAGTTTTAAGGTGTGGCATCTTGGTTCATGGTTTTGGCAAGCTAAAAACAGAAGATGGCCCTCTCCCAAAACTCTAGCTTCCATTCTAGCCAATAATATCTTCTGGCTGTGGGTTTTGGAGGATTTAGTAAAAATAAAAGCACTTCCTCACAGATATAACAATTGTTTGTCTGCCATCTATGAGCATTGTGCAGCATGGAGAGATGCCTTTGGATGGGTCCTGGCTCTGCAGCCCCGTTTCCACTCTCCCATCCTATTTCCACTCACATCCTCCCTGCACCTTTTCCTGCTCTTCGTGATGTGCTGCAGTACCAGTACCACCTTCAGCATCCTAGGAGGGTTCACCTTCCACAGTGCCACCAGGGAATGGGTGGAAGGCACGGGATAACTGCAGGACATTGTAACTCAGAGGGCAGCAGCCCTGGGACGAGGGACCAGGTGCCAATAACAGAATTTGCTTTACGAGGAAGGAAGAAGGAGCTGCATTAGCTGTTTATTGCATTGGGAGCACTGCTCCCATGACTGCGCTGTCGCTGCACCAGCGAGACTCCAGGGCATTGTAACCTCAGTCCTACCAGCCCTGCTTCTCTTTCTCCAGGAAATTAGAGTTACAATCATCATTATTATCGATCTAGAATTTTGTTTAAATGCTTGGGTTTCTGAGTGGATGTCCCATGTGGAGCACAAGGCATCATAAAATTGCTTCTAGACAACATAAAATCTTGTATTGCTGGAGTGCTCTCTTGTGGTGAAATAACGATTTCGCCACAACACTGGGCTAATGCAGGGATTATCTGCCTGTGCTGGGAACTTGCAGTCAGGAAAGGTTATTTTCTGCCTCCTTAGTTTGGGAGCAAATGCTTTAGATGGGAAATGCATTTAAAACATAAACATAATGGATTAGGCTCCAGGACTCCCAGAATCACTTATCATACAGAACTGTAAATAGCAGTGCTTAGGGGAATCACTCTCTGTGAAAGCTCTTCTCATACCCTCAGCTCCCAAGCTGCACGTATAGAGGATTGAAACACTTAATGTTAAACTAATCCTCCATCATTAAAAAGCCCTGTAGATAAGCCCCTGGTTCTGGATTCTACATGTGCTGCCGTGCCTGTGGTTCACAGGCGTGGGAGATGGAGCATGTGATGGGTATACGACAGCTGGGCAGTATGCATTCAATCAGCATTTAAAATAGTGGATTTTCAGCCCTGTAAGCCCATTGCTTCAAGCTGAAGTTGAAGAAATTCAGTGGCTATGGGTACTACCAGAAAACAAATCCCRAGCATCCCAAATTAATTTGGTTTTGAGAGTAACCTCAGTGATTTGTCATGCCATGTCATGAGTGGATCTGGCTGTGTGGAGTAAACTGCTCTGACTTTTGGATTTAGTTATTGCTGAGTACTGTGCGGCTTTAAAGTGCTGATTGCAAATGAAAACAAATTCTTCTTCATTCAAGMCTGAAGGTGATCCATGAAATGCTGTATTTACAGTTTAAAAGGACGACTGGAGCCCTGCCACTCCCCTTTAAATGCAGTGTGAGGACATTTCAAGGCATTGTYTCTAATAGTAAATTAAATAGTCCCACTGGCTTATAAGAGAGAGGCTGACATTTGATCATATCCGCTACTCAGCTGGCAGAAAAATCTTTGCCCAAGATGATTAGCAATCTCTCGAGAATTATCAGTGTTCATGGATAGGAAAAGAGCAACTGACATTATCTACCTGCACTTGTGCAAAGCRTTTGACACTGTCCTACATGACARCTTTGTCTGTAAGCTGGAGAGGCATGGATTTGGTGGATGAACCACTCTGTAGATAAGGAATTGGCTGGATGGTCACACTCAAAGAGTTTTGGTCAAGGCTCTTTGTCCAAGTGGAGACCAGTGAGGAGTGCTGCTCCTCAGGGGTCAGTTTTGGGACCAGCACTTTTTAATGTGCTTGTTCAGGACATGGGCAGTGAGACTGAGGCAGCCTCAGCAGGTTTGCTGATGACACTGAGCTGGGTGGTGATGGTRACACGCTGGAGGGAAGGGATGGAATCCTGAGGGACCTGGACAGGATGGAGGGGTGGGGCTGTGRGAACCTCATGAAGTTCAGTGAGGCCARGCACAAGGTCCTGCACCTGGATCAGGGCAATCTCACACATAAAAACAGCCTGGATGGGAAATGGATTGAGAGCAGCCCTGAGGGGAAAGAGACAGGAGTGTTGGTTGATGAGATGATCGAGATGACCCAGCAATGTGCTCTGGCAGCCTACAAAAACCAAATCCTTGGAAAACAGCATGGGTAGCAGCTGAGGGAGGTGATTCTGCCCCTCTGCCCCACTCTTGTGAGATCCTTCCTGCCCTGCTGCATCTAGCTCTGGAGCCCACAGCCTCAGAAGGACATGGACCTGCTGRAGCAAGTCCAAAGGAGGACCACAAAAATGATCAGAGGGCTGGAGCACCTCTCCTATGAAGACAAGCTGAGAGACTTGTTCAGCCTGGAGAAGAAAAGGCTCTCAGGGGACCTCAGAGGCCCTTTCAGGGCCTAAAGGGGCTACAAGAGAGCTGGAGAGGGACTTCTTACAGGGGCATGGAGTGATAGGACAAAGGAGAGTGGCTTTAACCTGACAGAGGGTAGATTTAAATTAGATATTTGGAAGAAATTCTTGACTATGAGGGYGGTGAGGCCCTGCACAGATTGCCCAGAGAAGCTGTGGCTGCCCCATCCCTGGAAGTGTCCAAGGGTAGGTTTGATGGGGCTCTGAGCAACCTGGGATAGTGGAAGGTGTCCCTGCCCATGGCAGAGCTGTTGGGATAAGATGATCTTTAAAAGTCTCTTCCAACCAAACCATTCTATGGTTCCATCTGGGCACAGTTTGGGAATCAACCCACATCAGGGTTCTTCACACAAAGTATTTATATGGCCATAGGTGTCTTGAGTGTTTAGGAGTATAAATGTGGCCAGGGTCTGTCAGCTGGCCTCAAGTCTGGTAAATAGGCTCTGTTTAATTTACCAGTTCAGTTGTAGCCCTAATACTGCTAACAGAGACAGCACTTGTCCTACTTTTCTTCAATTATTCTGGGTAGTTAAGTACAGATTGGCTCAGAGCTCTTTGGAAATGCTATTTCACCAAAACACTGATGTGTGAGACGTTGTGTGTGAACTGTTCTGTAACACAATTTTGTAAGACAGTTTTGTGTTTTGAAGGGAACAATCTGTATGGCATCGAGCAGTGCATGCTGTAACCTAGATATAATGCTTTTCTTCCKCAGTGGATGATTCCTTTTGCAGTCATGCTGGTGACCATTCCAAACCTGACCCTGGCTTATTTCGTGGCCTTCATCTCTGGTCTRAGCATTGCAGCATCTCTTCTGTTACCATGGTAGGAGAATTTTATATTTGAGGTGGGGAATGAATGTATTCCTGCATTACATGTGCAGAGGAATTTGCCTCTGAGAGAGACAGAATATGGCAAGAGTCACTTTTTCCAAGAATCTTATTTTGATTTTATAACAGATGCCATTTGCAATGATGTGACCTTGGTTGTGCTGTTGTTAACAGATTGCATCTACTGTAACAGTAGCTGCTCTCTGTACATAACAGTATGGAAATTAATCAATAATCTAAGTAACTGTAGAACTTGTGATAACATTGCTTCAGGAATTACAAAGTTAGGCAAATCAATTAATGCTGAGCAATTAAGAATGTAGCAGAAGACACTTAAGGCAAACTATGTCTAACCTGACTTTTTTAAAGGGCATTATAGAACCTGGCCTAATGGCTTTAAACTGAAATGTGATAGATAGATAGATAGATAGATAGATAGATAGATAGATAGATAGATAGATAGATAGATAGATAGATAGATAGATAGATAGATTGATTGATTTAAATAAGGTTTTAGAAAGAATTTGTTTACTGTGAGGGTGGTGAGGCCTGGCACAGGTTGCCAAGAGAAGCTGTGGATACCCCATCCCTGGAAGTGTCCGAGGCCAGGCTGGATGGGGCTTGGAGCAACCTGGGCTGGTAGAAAGTGTCTCTGCCCATGGCAGGGACTTGTAATGAAATAATCTTTWAAGTCCCTTCTAAACCAAATCATTCCATGATTCTGTGCATCCCTGCTTGGGCAGTCTGCTGTTAGAAATCAAATAACACAAGGTTATGATTAAAAGAAACCAAGAATTCAAGGTCCTTTGSACATGAGTGGGGAAAATCTACTCAAGGATGAGCATGGTGGGACATTGCCTCTTCAGATTAAAAAATTATCATTCAGGTCAAATTAACCAGAAAGCAAGACTGTTGCAGAGGGCACTGTTTTTCATAACTTGTTTGTGTTATGCCCTGAAAACTCCAAGACATCATGGAACACATAGTAGGAAATAAGTTGTCAGACTACATAAGCTTTTCTGCACAGAGGGTGAGAAACCCTTTTTATACAACAGTAAATGATTACATATACTGGAAATAAAATGGCAATTCACAATTGGCATTTGAGCAGCTTCCATTCTAATTCACCATTACCAAGTTCAGTCTCTTTGAAGTGGAGAGAGAATAGGCTTCACTGGTTTCTGAAAATGTTGTTACCTTGTCAAAAGAGTTATTTCTGAGTGAAACTATTCAGAGACTCAGAGTCCCTTGAAATCTTAAGAAACATGGGGGTTTTCTTTTTGTTCTTTTTTTTTTAATATCACAACTTCTGATTGGAATGACAGGCAGACTGGGAAATTCTGTCACCTCTCAAGTGTTCGATGGTTTTCAGTGGTTTACTTCATGGTAATATGTGGCTGTGCTTTTCTTACACATTTTTTGACCTCCTCTTGAGCAGTAGAACCTTTTGAACTGGATTCTTTCATGTGCATGACTACATCAATCAACTTAAAAATGGAGGAGGGCTGTTCTCTATTTCATTAAGTTTGGACTTTGAAAAGGGATTTTGGCTTGAGTTTTTGTTTTATCTTTCTCGCTTCTAGGTCAATGCTGCCTGATGTTGTTGATAACTTTCGCCTGCAGAATCCCCATGGAAAAGGACAGGAAACCATTTTCTATTCTTCTTATGTATTTTTTACCAAGATGTCAGCAGGAATTGGCTTAGGAATTTCTGCAGCAGGGCTGGAGTAAGTAATAGTGTGTGTTTCCACTTAGTGGATCTCCTCTGAAAGCATTCTGAGGTTACTACACCTTTACCCTGTGAAGTTAATTGTGTTTGTGCCCTGAGCCTGAAAGTGCCAGCAGCTCCAGATGGCTGACCACTAAAGACAGGATTGTTGCCATCTAGGCCAGACCACTGAGCATCAAGTTACCTGCCCGGACATGTTTCAGTTCAGAAAAACCTGAGTTCCCTTTGGCTTTTCCTCTTTTCAATTGCTCGTGTAAATCTTAGTGGTTTATATGAACGCAGAGCTAAACATGGAAGTGCAGCAGTTGAAGGCTTCCCACAGGTGATGCAGCTGCTTTGTGCATTCCCTGTTGCACCTGGACTGGAATGTCTCTATGTGCTTGTCACTCTTTACATTGCGCTCTTTCCGGGGTGCCTGTTCAGCATAAAAGGATCATTAATTCCTGCATGGGTTTAGGGAACTRGATACTGATTAGAGTCAGGAACAGCCTTTCTCACAGCTCTGCCTGTTGTCTAGACGGTGTTGCTTTGGGAGATGCTTTGTGGTCTCTTTCGACATTGTCTTGTCTGTTGTGACTAGACAGGCTGAGAAAGAGGCGAGGCATCCCCTGCCCTGCCTTTGTGCCAGCCCTGGCAAAAAGGGCCTCTGCCTGTCCCTGCTGCAGCACACAATGAACACTCAGAAGGGAATTCGTCTGAAATACTGGGCTTGCCCTTGGCTCCAGATTAGGTTTTGGTAACCAGAGTGTTTTGCTTCRGGGCCTTGAGCTGGAATTGCTAAATAACAGTCAATGCTTGGCTGAACATTTCGGGCTTAGGAATTTTAGCTGCTTACTGCTAAAACCCTCAAACAATTTGCTGTTCCCCTATTAGACCCTTTTCAATTGCATTCCAGTTGGGTCCCAGCAAATTGCCAAGGCAGATGTTTGTGGGAGAACACAGAAGACAGAGTGATGCCAAATGAGCTGTAGCTTTCATTAGGTGGGTGTTCAGAGGAAAAACTCATTCCACATGTTGGAAACAGGAATTTGAGTATATCAGCACTTGTGGGATTGCATGGAAGCCCTGAATCAATGAAGTGTGAGTGTGTACCTAAATCTGAGCACTTGAGTAAATTTGTCTATCTTGAGATGAGCACTTAAGTGTGTGTTTAAATTAAAGTTAATTATTGCTGTTGAAATTGGTCAAATTACTTGCATGCTTTCAAAGCAGRGCTTGAATACTTTGCTGAATATTAATAGGAAACACACAACAGATCAATTTCACAGAATCACGGAATCACAGAATGGGTAGGGCTAGAAGGGACCATAGGGGCTCATCTGGTTCCAACTTTCCTTGCTCAAGCAAGGTCATCCCAGAGCACATGGCACAGGATTGTGTCCAGATGGTTCTGGAATATCTCCAGTGAGGGAGACTCCACACTCCCTCTGGGCAATCTGTTCAAGTGCTCAGTCACTGCACAAGGAAGAAGCTCTGCCTCATGTTCAGGTGGAACTTCCTGGACATCARTTTATTTCCCTACATGGGATTCCATGATCCTTGCTTTRAAAGTATGCAGGTAATTTGACTGATTTCAATGGCAATAATTAACTTTAGTGTTATATATAATAACAAGAAAATACAGAGGTAKTGCAGTTATCTGAAGTTGAGCACAAAAATCAGATTTGAGAAACAAGATTTGAAATCTAGTGGGGAGAAGGGAAAAAGGAAAGTGTAGGAAAAAGTGGGAGAAAAGCCTTGAAAGGTGTTGGGAGAGAGAAGGAAGCCTTCAGGTGAACTGCTGCCTTTTATCTTTRTCCATACAGACATCACTTGTTTCCATTTGTTTAGGTTTACTGGATACAAGCCAGGGATATGCAGACAGTCAGATGATGTGATCCTCACTCTGAAACTCCTMATTGGAGCAGTCCCTGCTGTTCTCATCCTTTTGGGTTTATTTATACTCCTTTTCTACCCAATCACYGAAGAAAGTCGGAAAGAAACAAAGCTTGCCCTTGAAGAGTTAAGGTAGGTTTGGACTGGCAGTAAAACAGCAGCMCTACCACCACAGCAGCTCTTATTCATACTGGGGAAATTATTATTATTTTATAATAAGAATATAGATATTCCTTACAACAAAACAAAACAATGTGCTCTTAGTCAAATTGTTAATGGAATAGAACCATTACATGTTCCAGTATCTCTTTTTTGTAGTGTAGCACAACCTGCTTAGAGGACCATTTATCAGAACTTTCAGCTGTTCTATTTTACTTTTTTTCTGGAGTGGCTCACAAAGCACTATTGTTGTACATTGTTTCAGGCCAGAAACAAGGAATATTCTACATAGGTTAAATTTCTGGGGAAAATGCGAATAGCTACAATTTACTTTTATATAGAARAAAATGGTATTGTTGACTGCATTCTTCGTATATATGGAATACAAGAAACATCCAAACCATTTAGAAGCGTAGGCAGAAAATATTGTGGGAGAAAAAAAGGAGGTCAGCTTTGAGCTATTCTTTCCCTTTTTATCCKATCACTCTCCCTTCTTCCCTTTTTCTCCTTCTCCAAGGAAAATCTTGTCTAGCTTAAATTCATCCACCTCTGTCRACCCTTGAGGACATGTATAAGGACAGTCCTAGCAGACTGATAGATAAAATACAAAAAGAATAGGTTGTTACTTTGTATTGATTTCATTATCCCAGTTTATTGGAAGTGGAAATTGATTTCCATGCTAAGGGATCAATTCTAAAACCTAAGCATGGGTGTCTGGGACCAGTTAATGCCCCAAGATATCCGAGATATGTGCATGGGGTTGGCAGGTACGACAAAGGGCTCTCTGGAGGGGATAGGGTGAATAATCTAAAATGGGACTGGTCCCACTGCTCAGGGACTTCAATCATTGTCCAGAACAGCCACGCTTTGCTGAAGGTTCTCAGCTGTTGGAGACTGCCAAACTCAGCTTGATTAGTCAGCAGTGAGAGCCAGAATGTGTTCAGGTGTCATTTGTTGTGCTTTTAACAGGAGGAGCCACCAAAGCACAGAGAACTTGGACAGGCACAGAAAGGACACCTCTGTCTGAAAGCTCTGAGCACAGTGGCTTTCCAAAAACAGACTCACATCCCACCAACAAACCCTGTGAGAGTTTTCCATCCCACCAACAGACCCTGTGAGAGGTCATTTCTCTGCTCACAGTTATCAAAAAGGACAAAGGATGATTCTAACAGAAAGCATCGTGCAAATTTACACCTAACTCTTTGCAATGTGCTAAAAAAAACATTACAGATGTTCAGAAGTGCAAGCTGTTGAAGGCTTGGTTTTTTGTTTTTTTTTGTTTGTTTTTCAATGATTAGTGGGAAGCTGTGATCTTGTTGCATGGAGGATTTTATGCATTTATAGGTCAAGACCGGAAAAAAGCGTAAATGTGACCATAGAATTTTTGAATGTWCTGAACTGGAGAAGACTCACAAGGSTYATTGAGTCCAATTCRTGATGCACSACCCAAAWATTAACTCACAATTTATTTCACCCTTGGAGGCTGGGGTGRATTTTAAGCACAATCTCCTCCTATAACTTGCACACTCAAGTGTTTGGAAAGCAAYTGGGGACCTGAAGTATACTATATAAAGTTAGGAATTATTTTCTTTTGAAATGAAGCAAATCACTGGTGCAGACATGTTTGGAGGATTTTTTTTTTTCATTAAAAAAAAAAAAGTGAGGCAGTTTAAGTTTATAGATTTGATAAGAAATAGAACCCTACATTTCCTATTACTGATGTTTCTTGCTTCTGAAACCTGTAAACTGATCTCTGTCAGAGAATGAGAACATTTTCAAAATCAGTATCYTCCCTGAGGATGTGCAAAATCTGTAGTCCCTTCCAAAAATTATGTAATTTAAATTTCTTTACATTTTGGCCTTTAAGTAGTCCTCATACCCATTTCTCACATTTCTCTGCCTCACAAAACACCATTCACGGGTATTAATCTCAGCTTGCAGCTATTTTGTAATAACGAGGCTACACCTGCCTTTTAAATGGCAGGGTTTTTTTTCAGTCAGGGATGTTATTATGCTTTAGATACATCAACTGGGACCTCATCTCTACTACAGATTTACACTGTTCAGCACATGTTTTAGATGAAAGACACACCTCACCTCAGGCACTTTGTGGAGCTCTGAAGTTCAGACCTGTCCATTCCTGGCCTTTGTAGTCAGTGCAGGTACAGAGAGCTCCAGAGACTGGCTCCCAGCCCAAGCTAAAATGACTGGACTTTTGAAGACATACCTAAATCTGGAAGGGAGAGTGAAGAATCCAAGAGGTTTGTTCACCTTGAGAAATGAGCACAATGCAAGACCAGACAGGAATTTCATCACACTGCCTTCACTGTGGGACTCTGAGAGGTGCCTTTTTGCTGTACCTGAAGTGCCTTTGGAGGATGGGCTCCGTGCTTTTTGGGAACACCTGGAGGAAGTGGCCACCTGCAATTTGCTCAGGGCTATCTGGRATGTGGCTGACAGTGCTGGTACTGGAAACTGGGAGGCTTTGGCTGCAGGACAGTGAAGTAAAATCCRTGCAACCACAGAATGCCTCATTAARTTACTGAAGCTTTGTCCAGCAAGTTTGAAGTCAAAGACYTTATAAACTGTCCTAATTCAGCAAAATGCTTAATTGTAAGGGAGCTTCTAAGGACATATTTTGAGAGTGTGTGGGTAAGAGTTAACTGCATTTAAGATTTCTGTTGACTTGACATCTAAGGCTGGGGTTTTTTGTCTTTTTTTCTTGTTTTGGTTTTTGGACAAACCGAGATATGTATGCCTGGGGCATTTGTGTTTACAACAATAAAAACCATAAGTCTGTTTACAATTTTGAGTCTGATGGAATTTGAAATAGCAAATTTACAGCACTTTGAAGTAGGTAAGTTRTGTAGCAATGTCACATAGCTCCAAAACATCACAGAGAACCGTTTTGGGCATTTGATTTATTCTGTAATATTTGTGTATTTCTGAATAGTCATGTTTAAAAATAACCAGAAGCCCCAGTAAAGGCTGTTAATGTTTTTTAATGGGTTTTGTTTTCAGCTGCTATAAATCTGTCACTCCAAGGCAGTGGGTCCATGTCAGTTTATATAAACTGAATATTTAGCCCAGTGATAAAAGGGCTGCAGAAACTGCTGGCTGGTGTTGAGTGGAGTTATTTGAATGTGGCTTAAGATATTATTTCTAGATCAGTGCAGTTGCCTCCAAAATTGCATAACACCCAAACTGAATTCAAACTGAACTCTTGGAAGGTAAACTTGGTAGATTGTAAACYTTTTCTTCTCTGGAGAGACAGTGTGATCTTTACCTCACTGAGATGTACTCAGTTCTTGCTTTGCAAATGGTACCAGCAATGGGAACTGCCAAAAGAAAATAGAAATCTTCTGGAGATGGAATGAAGAAGATTATTTTTGTATTTTGAAAATCTCATTATTTTGATCCAAATTTTGTTGGGGAAAATGAAGTTATTTTTGTCMGTCAAAAGAATAGAAGATCAAGTGTAGGATAAGATTATTTTTGTAACTTCCTTTTTTTAGGGCTTGGTGTTGGTGCAGTAAAATGAATGAGATTTGTATGTCTCCTTGTCAGTTTTAAATGATRTCTATGCCTTATCCATGTTCAGAACATGTGACTGAAAGAAGCAAATTCTTATGTTGACAACCATTCAGATTAAATGCTAATCTAATGGAAACCTCTTGCCTTCCTGCTGATTGGCAGTAACAGGGGCCAGGTTCAATCCCCAGGGGTTCCACTTGGGGTAATATCCAAATACAGTAGTAAGGATGTGGAGATTGGATTAAACCAGCTGGGTGCCTAATGGACTGCACTTCCCCACCTGCACACAGACAATTCCAACAAATGGATTTACACAAATAGGGGAAGAGAAGGGTAACAGAGTTATGTGTCTATGGGTAGTGCWCTGTAAGGCAATCCATGTCCAATTCCTTATCCTTGCTGAAGTGTAATGAGGGCAGCCCAAATCTTCCACACTGGGCTGATTACTGGCAGTCATAGCTGAGCTGGTCACCAGTCATAAAATCACAGAATCTGCATGGATTGGATTCCAACTGCAGTTGGAAAAGACCTTTAAGATCATCAARTGTAACCATCACCCCAGTCTTCTCTTCCCATTTCACCCCCTCGTAGTTCCTGCCTAACAATGATGCTGAAACCTCCCAAGGTCACACCACCTCCCTGAGAGCTCCTGCAGGTGAYCAGGTAATCCCATATCCGAGCTGCTGTTCCCACCAGGCACTGATGGAAGGGGTTGCTGGTGGCCACCAGCTGTGTCTCTGTGTCCCAGTCACTGTCCCCTGCCTGCCCCTCAGCTCCCTGACCAGCCTCAGCTTAGCTGGATTAGATCCCTTGTCCTGAGCCCTCCACTTTAACAGGTGGACACCACCTTGGACATCTGTCCCTGGGGATTCCCTGAAGGCTGGGACCTTTTGTGTCAGGTCACTGGGTTTTCAGGAAGGGCTCTGGAGATTTGACTACTAATTCCTTAAGTCACTTTGGCATCTTATAAGAATCACTTGTGGATTCAATCCCTGCTGCATCCTCATCTTTATTCACCTTCAGCATTCCATGCAAAGTAGCTRAAGTGGAAAATGTTCTAAAGTAACTTTAGAACAAACTTTAGCTTTTGCGTTCAAAGTTTGTTTCCAAGTATCACTTGTTCATTTCCTTCTCTGCTTGTCTTTCTGGGCTGTAGGGAAAAAAATACAAAATTAAATCAATCTTCTTGAGAGGAGGAATCTTCACAAGGGAAACTCAGGTCCTTTCAAACCTGGTATCTGTTGTCCAGCTCTAAGATGAGGAAGAGAGGGCAGGTAAGCTCAAAGCCCTATGCAATAGACTACAGTAGTTCAGTGGTCAATCACATACCTCATAGGAATTTCATACCATAGTTACATAAAAAAAAAGTCTCAAAGTGTTACAATAGCCTGTCCCRTAAGAAAACTTCTAGACTGATTTATGGAAATGTCAGATGGATTCACACAACTGGTGGGTGCAGGAGGGAGTTTTGGTTTTGTGCAATTTCACCTTTTTTTTTTTAACCTTCTGCAGTTCCACAGTTCAGATACTCCGCAAGTTACAAGAACGTGCTTGTGCTGTAGGCTCAAAATATGAAATCAGATGGCTTCCATTTCACAAAGCAACAACCTGCTGCACAAACCAGATGCTAACTCACTGRGAAGCTTCATTCAAAAGATGAAGCAGCAGCATCTGTCCGTCCCCAAGGCAGAGGGGAAAACTTTTTGCTATGTTGCACCTGAGAATTTARGTCTGAAGGCAGAAATTGGCACAACAGAGCCAAACAAAAAGAGGCCTAATGGCCCTTAAAGTGTGGCACTTTTGAGAGGAGCTGAATCCTCAGTAACACTTTAGAGATCTTGCAGAGCAGCAGCTTCTAATCCCAGCTGAAGAGCAGCAGTGCTGCTGGATGCTGGGGAAAGGGGTGTGTTTGCTCTGGAAGTGTGGAAGCAGAAATAAACCTTATTTCCTGATCTGTTTCTTATCCCAAATGATCTTAGATCAGACTATGAATTTCAGCTACACTGCTCAGCTGTCTGTCCTCATTTTTGCCGTGCTCTGCTGCAGGTGGTGAGGAAGGATTGCTCAGGTCTAACTGAACTGATGGTCATTTGTTCAGTTTCACCAGTAAAGCTCCACTTTCCCAGCCCTCATCCCCTGCCAGCTTGTCTTTGCTGATGTACATGAAATCATCTACGCATCAGATTTCCTTTCTGTCTTAGTCTTCTCCATCACGGAATTTTATGTTTTACCTGAAGCAGCTTTTTGCCTACCTAAAGCCAACTTGGGCTTGTCATCTTGATGATGTAACAGGCTGACACAGGGTGAGAAATTTCTGTTCAAACYGGTTGCAGCCCATGAGGAATTACYATGGRGCACCCTGGGCTAGKGGAAKGTGTCCCTTCCTGTGGYAGGAGGGTTGGAATGAGATGATTGATCTCTAAGGGCCCTTCCAACTCACATCATTCCATGATTCCATTAAATARGCAGGTCTCTTACTGTAAAGATTTCATTCTTCCAAGATTCCTAGGGTTGTATTTTAAATGCATTATTTGTCCACATGCACAGAGCACACCACCAAGAACCAGTGTAATCTGTTGACCAAACTATTAACAGCTCTTAGTGCGTGTCTAGCACGTGCTGTGTCTGCTCCAGTCACCCCACACAGCAGTGTCCTGTGCACAGGAAATCCTTGGTGCTCACCTGGGGAGCTGGAGAAATTCCACAGGTCTCCTGAGACCAAGCACACTTCTGGTARGAGACACCGTCTTTTGTCAGTCTAATACAAATAGGTAATAATTCCAAAATAAGCAGCTAATTTTTATATGCTGGATGCATAACAAAATTACAGAAGCACCATTTGAGGCATGAACAATTCAAAGTCAAGGTGCTCTGCAGAGCCAAGAGCACTCAGC